GCTAATCGCCAGTTTGTGGACGATTAGTCGATTTATCGTGTCATTCATAAAAGTTTAGCTTATTGCACCAGGATGCTCTAATATACCCATCATTAGCTATCAAACAACTTTTAATTTACTTTGCAACCTGTTGATACAAATGCTACAGTCAAATAGAGGCAGGCACCTAAAACCAAAAACAAATTTCACACAAAAATGACTTGTGTTCACAAGAGGCATGGTTGCAAAGTTAAAGCGCTTCATTTTCCAATCTAAACTCAGGAAACAGCAGGACACACCAAGGCGCGCCTCTGTAGCACAGCTGATCCACACGTCAGTGGTCAGGGGACTATCGACAGCTCTGAGGGTCTGCTTTACCGTAAAGATAAAAGATATTAAAGTTTGCTTATTTACCAGATTAATAATTCTGTTATATCAAATAAAGAAGGTTAAGATTTAACGCAAAGAAAATGTTTTATGCTTTTAAAAATATTAGTTTCTTGATTGCTCAGTCAGCAATGTTTTTATCTCGTCATAAGATGCATTTTATTCTAATGTTTATTTTATTTGTATCCAGAGAGCAACAGAAACAAAGACGCGTCTCACGCGCACACACACACCTTAAAGGTGGTGAAATGGGATCAACCGGGTAGGTAGTTATCGTATCCTGGGTTGAGCTGTTTGATCATCTCTTTGAACCCTTGATCGCTCAGCATGGACAGGCGTCTCGTGACCAACATGCTCACAATGGCCTCGGTCAGGCCATGCTTGATGAGGTGTGCACGTAACAGACTCGTCCACTGACGAGGTGCACTTTTATTAACACTGTAATGTAGCGGGATGAAATAAATCATTAGCGTTTGTAATTAGAGCAAAAATACGTGACATACAGGTACTAAAGGTAATAAAGTTGCCACAGCTACTGGTGTTGCCACACCTATGTATACAAGTAGCTCTCTGTTGATGTTAGCAGCTAACAAGAGGTAAACTTACTGATTATTTGTTCTCCGCCATGACGTGCTTCCTCTTAAGATGCTCGTGCATCTCCGACGTGCTCCCCTGAAAGGAGTCTCACTTTGTATAAAGCTCCCTAACGTTTGAGCTACATTGCCGACTCGCCATGTTTTCTTTCTACTACTACTTTCTACCATTTTATTTGTCAACGTCGTTGTGACGAGCCGACTAATCGTGGCAGCGCTAAATAAAGGATGATGATTAGCGTCATTCTCTATCAGAAACACTGGTAGAAGAAGTAGTTTATTTATAGAGCACTTTTCACAGACAAAAGTCACTAAGTGCTTCACAGACAAAAACAAACAATAAACAACAAAACATAAAATAAAACAGCATTACAATAAACTATCAATTTTCAATGAAAGTGGTAGGTGACTTGTGGTGATCTGGGATTACGGAAAAACTAGGGCTGCACAATATATCGAAAAATTATCATCGTGATAACAGGACGTGCGATAGGCCCATCGCAAAGCACGTCAAAAATGGCGATAAATGTTTGGTTCAAACATTTCCATCCGTGTCATACATCAACTTTTTGTAAACCAGCTCTGTTTTTTACGCGGAAGTATTATTTGACCAATCAAATGTAGCCCTTCTGATATGCGGCGTAGACCCTTAGGATGGAAAGCAACACCCGAACTGAGTTAAGGCTGATTCATGCTTCTCCGTCAGCTCCGCAAGGGACAGACAGGCATGGATTGACGGAAGCGTTTTGCTCTCATACTTCTCCGTCTCCTGGAGAGTGTTGCAAAGCAATTCCCCGCCAGGACAACAGAGGGCGTAGCGCTGTTCTGTTGTATCCTGTCATGTATCGGTCCAAGATAGTGTGTTTATATTATGTTTATTGTATATAAGAGACTTTTTAACACGGACACATTTGTCTCTCATTCTCCTCCACCTCTTCATGCGCTCGCCACTTCTAAACCCACGTTTCCTGTCATTTCCGTCCACAAATAAAACGCTTGCTGCGAATCTTTTCACTCCTCCAGTCACGGGAGAATTAAACGTTCATATTTTAGAGTTTTTTCGCGAGGTATTCTTCAAGCTTCTCCTTGTCTGCCGCTAGTTATCCTCGGCTCTTTATGTTTTTGAGGGCGCAATGGCGGCGGTGTAGACGACAGCGGTGTCCTGACCAATCACAAGCTTGCGTTCTTCATCTCATTCCACGGATGTTTTAAAAAGTGGACTCGCGTGCCTGCCGGCGCCTACGCAAGGACTGATAATGGCATTGCGTGTCTCCTCACTGACGCAGACGGAGAAGCATGAATCAGCCTTTAGCGGCGCCGTTCCCGTGTTCGTCATGCTGGCTCAGAGCAACGAACGCACTTTGTACTGAGGTTTCTGGAATCAACGCTGCTTTCAAACGTGAACGTGAGTGCGCTCGATGTCGTTAATCATTTTTACCGGGCTGACTCCGACACGTGCCGGTGAACCAACTCACCTCCATGTCGCTAGTGTTCCACCGGGTGGTGACGTTAGCCCCCAGGCTCCGGTTAGCTTCCAGCTAAAAGGCTACAGCACTCTCCTCCCAGTCCCACCCTGCTAAAGAGGGCCTGGAAAAGTTCCCCCACATCAAAGTGATTTTTCATTTATGAGCTTCTATAACCTTGTTAATCAGGATAGTTGATTTGCTGCTGCACATAAACTGTCAGTCAGAAGCTCTGCTAGCCGGTTATCTTGAGAGGAGCAAGTTCAATTTGTTAGCTTGTTATCAGAATCATAGTTGCAGTTTCATCATCTGAGCTGCTTTTTAAGATCTAGGTAAACTTGTTCAATTTGGGGTTAAAAACAAACGTTTTCACATATTTTCCATGTAGTTTTTTGCCAGTTCCTCTTCTGAAAGGTAGACAATTGTTTTTCTCTTTCCTTCAGAAAATCTTAATATTCTCCTAGTTTGGCCCAGCACAGTTCACTTCCCAATAGAAGCAACAGCCTTATATCATAACCACATAAGTGGAGAAAATGCTCAGTAGCAATGAGAGAATTTGCTGTTGCATTTAAGTGATGTTAATTATTATTTAACATTTAAACTTATTTTCTGATAGTTTTATTTATTGAAAAAACCCTGGTAACGGATGTTTTTCTGTATTTGGAGCATCAGAAAAAGTTTTATGGTGGAGGTGATGTTTTAAAGTCACTGAGAAACTGCATGCATGCAGTTTGTTGTTTTGCTGCTAATACAGTAGCAGGTGCAGCTGCATATTTTTCTCAATGAAAATGACTTGAAAAACTCTGTTAGCTTTGGGTAAGCATGTACCTAATGTCCGACTGATCTCCGGCTTCCAGAGAAGGAACCATCAACAATGGCGGACACGAGGATCTTTCACCGGGGTGGACCAGCGAAGCCCGATATCCTCAGACAGCTTACCTAGTTAGGATTTAGTTACCAAGCAGGCTGGAGGCGCCTTTACTTTGGAGTCGCTGCACACAGATGGAATCAGCTTCCTTATGATCTCAAATGTGCCCCAACTCTAGAAACTTTTAAATCAAAATTGAAACCCTTCATGTTTTCATCATCCTATGAATAAATGTTCTTATGCTGCACCTTCTGCACTGCACTTGCTCAACCTTTAACTTTGTTTCTTTTTCATTTTTAAATTGTAATTTCTGTCACATTGATTTTAATGTTCTTGCCAATAGAAAGCACATTGAATTGCCTCTATGTATGAAATGTGCCATTTAAATAAAGCTGCCTTGCCTTGGGTTAGGGTGCGATTTTTGGCCGTCGTACAGGATTGTTCATGTCACACTGTGAGAACTCCAGGGAGGTGGCACACTGTACGGCACAAGATTTCAGTGAGCCAGACTGCACAACGTCTCTCTCCAGCAGGACACGCTGCGTCATGAGCGCACCTCCTGGACACAAATCTAACCAGCAACTTTGACAGCGAGGTCGAGACTGGCTGCCGAAGAACAATCAACGAAACAACCTCCCTGCTGTTTGCACCTAAAACCTGAAGCTGCACCGCGGCTGGATCTTCCTACAAGACAACGACCCTAAACACTGCTCAACATCTACTAAGGCGTTCACGCAAAGGAACAAGTAGAACATTCTGGAATGGCTATCTCAGTCCCCAGACATGAATGTTATTGAAAATCTCTGGTGTGAGTTAAAGAGAGCTGTCCGTGCTCGGAAGCGTTACTGAGCCATCTTGTTTGAAATTGTATCATTTTTTTTTTAAATATTGAGATATCACCCAGCCGTAACGTGTGGTTAAATAAATCTTAAATAGCTCATTTTTCTCTCTTGTGTATACAAAGTATTTCTACTTGATGTTAACTTGTACATAGTGTGTATGTGTGTGTGTGTGTGTGTTAGGTATTTTTATTAAATGTTCATTTTGTTTGGTCTGTGAAACTTTGTACTGCCTGAAGAGTCACTGGAATGTGGTAACCATGGTAACCCAGATGGGTCTTGTAACTCTGTAACCTGAGAAGGCTCCGCCTTCTCCATCCTTTGCTGAATAAAGCCCCTGGGAAACTGAGGACACGGGGGAGTGACGTGGGGTCAGCCTCGGAGGAGGTTCCTCTGCGTTAACTCTCCATTATTTTGGGGACTCAGGGTAAAATGTCTCCTATTTTGTCATGTGTGTTTATTTCAGGTTCTAGGGTTATGGAGATTAAATATGACCCAATAATTAATTACCGAACAGTGTGTGTACAAGTAAACACACACAGAGAAAGTTAAGTGTTTGCACCATAATGAAAAGGTTGCAGGTTTCAGCCCTGTTCAGTCTGTTGCAGATGTTGTGCCGTTGGGCAATACACTTTACCCACTTTTCCTGCTGGTGGGGGTCAGAGGGGCCGGTGGCTCAGAAGCCTAGCTTCTGTCAGAGAACCCCTGGGCAGCTGTGGCTACATTGTAGCTCATCATCATCATTGTGTAAACAGGTAAATGGCGGGTTGTGTTACAAACCACTATTTTAGATATTGCACCTTATAAGAGACATACTCAATTTCTCTGTAAAGTTCCACTACACAGTAACAATTCATCCATTCACCAGTACCTGTGTCCATGCTGTCCAGGTCCAGGTGGTGAAGAACACACGATGAATCAGTCCCAGATCCTGAAGTGGAAGCAGGTTTTCTTTAGCCGTGTTTAGCTAACAGCTGCAATAGAAACAAAGCAGGAGAGCTGATTAAGATGCTGCTTCAGAACAACGCAGGAGATTAAAGATCCAACGCTTTGGTTCTGATCAGCTGAGGACAGATCCAGTCTGGAAAAGAGGACCTTTGCTCACCAGAGTTCACGGAGTAGAGCTAACCGCTTTTTCCTCCAGAGTCACATTCAGATTCGGGGCTTTTCCGTCGGAGAGTGTGAGCAGGATGGATCAGAGAGCGAGCAGCGATCCTGCATCATGACCAACTCAGATGAGCGAGTCTGATAGAGGGAACCTCTTCAATCTGATGAAAGCAGCAAAACGAGCGCGTTTCTCAGAGAGGCCAAAGGAACAGCAGCAGATCCAGAGGGCAGGAAGTCTAGAGAAAAGCTTTTCTCACCCACAACCTGATTCTGGAGCTCCGATTGTCACGAAGACCGCAGAATATCTTCTCTGGTTCTGGAAAGAACTCCACCAAGTTGTTGAGGAGGAGAAGAAAGTTTCCACAGCCTGGTGAGAAGATTTCTGCAGCAGCAGCAGTTAGTCGCTTTAGCTGATCAACTCTCCCAGAGACTGAAGTGAAGACATTTTTACTGCAGAGCCTCAAATATTCTCCTCACACACCAGATCAACAAGCTAGCTCGGCTAGCAGCTTCTGGTTTCTGCTTCTTCTGGTGGTTGGTGCCCAGCGTAAAGGTGCACTAGCGCCACCTGCTGGACTGGAGTGTGAAAGAGAATGGAGTACTATAAATTCCACCGACATTTGAGTTCAGTGTTTAATAAACCAAACCATGGACGTCGTGAGTTAGGTTTAACATAACTCACGATAACTTCTCTACACAATTACATTAAAGTAAATACAAGTTGTTTTTTCATCTGTTGTAATATTTTTTGTTATTTCCAACCAATTTCTTCAACAGCCCTGAAAAGTCAAACAGACCTTATTCTTTATGATGTTCCATTAAATCTGACCAGTAGTTTGGATATAAACGTTATGACCTAAAACCAGCTTGAACAAGTTTAGTTGTTTGTTTTCTTTGCCCCGAGTGTAGAACTTCAAAGTGTTCAAAATTAAATAAAAAAATGAATAAATAATGCGTCATGAAATATGTATCTACATAAATAAATACTAGACAATTATGTAATCTGAAAACAAAATTGTGAAAAACCAGAATGTTATGTACAAATCTAAACTCAATATTTTAACATAGTTTTCATTCTTCTTGTAAAACGTGTTAATATAACACTTTATTTAAGAGGTAATGTTTACATAATACAATACCATAATTCAAATTATTGAGATTTAAAAAAATATATTTTAATCTTATTGTCAGCAGTCACATCGTCAACGAATACAAGAGAACAAGTTCCATTAGCAGCCATTCATGCCCACATCATGACACTGCCACCATGTTTCACTGATGAGATGATGTTTAGGATCAGTTCCTTTCCTTCTCCATACTCTTCTCTTCCCATCACTCTGGTACGAGTTGATCTTGGTCTCATCTGTCCATAAGATGTTCCAAGATTGGCAAACTCTAATCTGGCCTTCCTGTTCTTGAGACTTACCAATGGTTTACATTTTGCAATGAACCCTCTTTAAGCACTCTGGTGAAGTCTTCTCTTGATGGTTGACTTTGACACACATACACCTAGCTCCTGGAGAGTGTTCTTGATCTGGCCAACTGTTGAAGCGAAGGGTGTTTTCTTCACCAGGTAAAATTCTTTTGTCACCCACCATAATTGTTACCTGTGGTCTTCTGGGCCTTTTGGTGTTGGGCCACGCCTACTGTTTTAGCTATCTCTCTCATGGGTTTGTTTTATTTTTTCAGCCTAATGATGGTTTGCTTTGGATCTTATCTTAAGAGTTGACAGCAACAGATTCCAAATGTAAATAGCAATCCTGAAATTAACTCTGGACCTTTAATCTGCACGTTATTTTTAGGATAATGAGGGAATATCACACACCTGGCCATGGAACAGCTGAGAAGCCAATTGTCCCATTGCTTTTGGCCCCTTAAAAAGTGGGAGGCACAACTGCAAACTATTTGTCAGTAAATCTGTTAGACTGTTACTGATAGCAGTTACATTTAAGATTTTTAGTTTCTCTTTTCATTGCGATGCTTCGTGGTTCAGCATGTATGTGTAGATTCTTAGTCAACCTGGACATAAAACTGCTTGACTTTTCTGGTTATCCTGAAGCTGTTTTACCTCTAATCCTAGAGACATCTTCATTTTTAAACCTTGAGTTGTGAGCAGGAGACTTAGTAGTTGTGGCCAAAAACACAATTGTGCTGCAAGCCTTTTTAAAATAAAATCCAGTTTTTGTCTAAATTAATTCAGGCTATTTTAGGTGATGTCATCGGTCCTTTATTCCCAGAACATTTATGGCCATCCATGTGGTTGGTATTGGTGAACAAGACTTCTGGAAATCGGTATCGGTGATAAGCGGCAAAAACACTGATCGGCACATCCCTACTCACAAACAAACGGCTTCTGTCCTGTGTGGACTCTCGTGTGTTTGAGTAAACATCTCTTTCTGCTATATCTTTTACCGCAAAGCTCACAAACAAAAGGCTTCCATCCAGTGTGGACTCTCATATGACAGTTTAAATTTTCTTTTTGGATGAATTTTTGTCCACAGTGCTCACAGGTAAAGGGTTTCTGTCCTGTGTGGGCTCTCATGTGGTTGTTTAAACTTGCCTTTTGGCTAAATTTTTTTCCACAGAGCTCACAGGTAAAATGTTTCTGTCCTGTGTGGATTCTCATGTGAGTGTTTAAATTTGCCTTCTGACTAAACCGTTGTCCGCAAAGCTCACAAACAAAAGGTTTCAGTCCTGAGTGGACTCTCGTATGTCTGTTTAAATTAGCTTTTTGGCTAAATTTTTGACCACAGAGCACACAGATAAAAGGTTTCTGTCCTGTGTGGACTCTCGCATGACTGTTTAAATATGTCTTATTGCTAAATTTTTGACCACAGAGCTCACAGGCAAAAGGTTTTTGTTCTGTGTGGACACTCATGTGTCTGTTTAAATTAGATTTTCTCCTAAACATTTTTCCACAGAGTTCACAGACAAAAGGCTTCTGTCCTGTGTGGACTCTCATGTGTTTGTTTAAATTTGTCTTTTTGCTAAATCTTTTACTACAAAGCTCACAAACAAAAGGCTTCAATTCTGTGTGGACTTTCATATGACAGTTTAAATGTTCTTTTTGGCTAAAATTTTGTCCACAGATCTCACAGGTAAAATGTTTCTGTCCTGTGTGGATTCTCATGTGAGTGTTTAAATTTGCCTTCTGACTAAACCGTTGTCCGCAAAACTCACAAATAAAAGGCTTCAGTCCCGTGTGGACTGTCATGTGTCTGTTTAAACTTGCTTTTTGGATAAATCTGTGTCCACAGAGCTCACAGGTAAAAGGTTTCTGTCCTGTGTGGACACCTATGTGTCTGTTTAAATATGTCTTATTGCTAAATCTTTGTCCACAGAGCTCACATGTAAAGGGTTTCTGTCCTGTGTGGACACTCATGTGTCTGTTTAAATTGTAATTTCTCTTAAACTTTTTTCCACAGTGATTACAGCTAATTGTTAGTTTTGTCTCGACTTCCCTGCATGCGTCTACATGTTTCTTCTCTCTAACACGTTTCTTATTAACCAAACAGCCTGAAGACTTAATTGCTGAATGATTTGTTGCTCTCACATGTTTTTGGAGAGACTGCTTGTGGAGAAATTGTTTACCACATTCAGGGCAGCTAAAGGATTTGTTCACAGTCTTAACATCTGTCTCAGAAGAACTGCTTCTCCAGTCATTGTCTCCGCCTCCAATTACAGGGTCAGAGTTAAGATTCATATCATCATCCTCTTCTTCACCTACACTAACTTCAGTCTCTGAGGAATCAGGTTCATGAAGGTCTGTGGGTCCTCCGCTAGTTGCTGCTGTCATCTGGTCAGCTGAGCTGCTGGTTAGAAAATCTATGTGTTCTATTTGCTGCTGATCCTCCTCACTCTTTATAAAAACTGACATCAATGGAAACCTGGCTGCATCAGTCTCCTCCTTCAAATGGAGAGGCTCAACCTCTAGATTGATCCAGAGTTCCTCTTTTTCATCTTTTAGGTGAAGACGTTCTGGGTCCTGCTGGTCCACACCAGCACCCTGTTCTTCAGGAGCTTCTTCTTTTACCAGCAGCATCTGTTGAACACCTGTAGTTAAAACAGAAATAAAATGTGGATTACAGAGCACCGTATCTTTATATTAAAATTGTTTTGAACTTCTTTAAATGGTGTTTAAGGCACTGAATGGGTTGGCTCCGCTCCAATCTATTTGACTGAGCCAAGTTTCTGCTCGGGCACGCCGCTTTGAGAACCAGTTGCTCACTTTGGCTCCCAGAGCTCGGCTGAAGACAAGAGGGGACAGGGCGTTCTCAGTACCTGGACTAAAAACTATGGAACGTGCTTCTCTTAACTGTTAGGATCTCTTTAGGGTTGGGCATCGAGCATCGATTGGAACTGGGACCAATTATTAGTTTTTCCTGGGATCATTCAAAGTTTTTTATTTCGATTCCTAGAATGTCGACGGAAGAGGAATCCGCGGCTGATCTCTGTGAAAAATAAAGGTGATCTGCAAACTGTGATCAACACTTTTCAGAGCTGATCACACCAGCTGTCTGTGTGCAGCACCGAGTCCCCCCTCCCCCCACCCGGCACGCAGCGGCCAGATGTAAACAAACGCGTCTGCCGAACTTTTACTCCGTGATGTAAACTTTAACTCCTGCAGCGTAGAGGAAACTTGTTAAAATACATCAACACGGTGGATTTAATAGAAGCTTTAAAGAACAAACTCTGGACGGTGTGAGGTGAGTTTGTCTCACTGCAGAAATAAAAACACACGGAGCGTCAGCAGTCAGACGCAGCTGCTCACCAACGCTCATGTGTGTGTGTGTGAGCGTCAGAAGGCTGAACAATGACCTGTAGAATAATTAAAGTCATCATGCTAGAGCAGCTTTCTCTGTGGTGGACCACACCAGCTTCTGCCACAATAAATACTTAGAATAATAATAACAATAAATCACACACAAAGTTGTGAACATTTAAATTTCCTTTCTGAACTATTTTTCTTGAGAGTTTTAATGTTTAAAATCTGTTAGATTGTTGCTGACAGCAGCTACATTTAAGTTCCTGTTCTGACTGAATGCTGCTGCAGCATGGAGGTGTAGTTCTCAGTCATCCTGGACATGATCATCCTGAGAGTTTTAGCTGAAAACAGCTGGACGTTTCTGGATATGTTGGAGACATTTAGCCTCTCATCCCAGAGGCTTCTTCCAGACTTTGGTTGTGGTCAGAAACAAACACACCGGTTGTGCTGCAAGTCTTTTTCTTTTTTTCTCCAAAACATGTTTTTGTCTAAATGAAGGTGATGCTGTTGTTCATGGAATTAAAATTCATGTTGAAGTTAAGATTATTTCATCAAGTAGGACCTGTGGTTAGCTGGCTCATGTAAAACATTTCATGTCTTTAAAGAATCGGGAATCGATAGGAACCGGAATCGAAACGAGGAACTGGAATCGGAATTGTTCAAAATCAAAAGATGCCCAACCCTACCAGGGAGTCAACTTCCTGTGCTTAATAACCTTCTTTTTTAAATGGGCAACATCATCTAATGCCACACGTAAAGAAGAAGAAACATTATGAACTAGATCATCAATTTGTGAGGGGTTAGAAATGAAAATATTGCCCTCTGCTACGTTCCTCTGAGATACTGAGGACAGTAAAGATGGAACAGTTGATTTAAAAGATGCAACCGTTGTCAGATAGAGAACCACTATAGTGAAATTCACTTTCATGCCTCGAGACCTCAGTTATAAAAAACTCAAAGGTTATCAGAAAGTGGTCCGAGAGGACTGGATTATGTGGAAATATCGTTATTTCCTCACACTCTATGCCACAAGTCAGCACAAGGTCTAATGTATGATGGCAGGAGTGGGTGGAGCTATTCCAACCAAATTATTTAAAGTATGTGGCCAGATGCAAAATTCCTTTGAATGGCATGTGTAAAAAGTATTAATGGCATGTGTAAAAAGTATTAAAACCTCAGATGCAAAAGGTTTTGGGATTTTCACAGCTGGATTTTTAAGAAAATGTGCTGTTTTTGACTACCGCGACAAAAACATAAAACTGTTTCCGGTCTAAGCCCTGGGCAGCTGGTGACGTCTCACAGGGAGCTCTACTCAAACAGGTAAAGTAACCAAATATCCCCAACTCCGATTTATCAGCATTAGCATTAAAGCAGAGGACAATGTTTCATCAGTCAGAAAATCATAAAACCTCTGGTAAGAGGTCAGATTTTTTTTTTCCTCTGGATTACTACGAGGAGAATGGATATCGGAGAGATGCCGCTGTGTCGCTCACCCTGTCTGACTTGGAGCCAGAAGCCGGTGTCAGAACACCAGTTAGCCTCCGAGGCTAACACACAGCTGGACATATTCAAGACTCAGACGACATGCAGATTGATATGGACGCTGATGGCAAAGCCGACTAGAATGGTAGTGAATGTCTTCAGAACCAAAGTTAGTACCGTTTATTTACTTTTATTGTGTGCGTGATTTATCTCCGATAGGTCAACATAGCAGCTAACTCTGCAAGCCACATCAGGCTGTGCCAAAATATTTCAATAATCTACAGAAAAATAAAACAATTTGCTGCCAGTTTTACTGCTGCATGTACAGTGGAGGAAATAATTATTTGACCCCTCGCTGATTTTGTAAGTTTGTGCTAAAACGTGCGTCAACGTGGTCATCAATTACAAGAAACGTTTGACCTCAGTGCTTTCAAACAAGGGTGTTGCCACCAAGTATTGTCATTCTTCTTGGAGGGTTCAAATACATTTTTCACTCAATGAAATACAAGCCATTTTCTATCTTTTATTTAAAGTTAGGTATTGATGTGATATATGCCTCTGTTAAAAAAACTACCACCAAAATGGTACTTTTCTGAGACTTTGTCTTAGGACAAACTTCCAAAATTAGTGAGGGGTCAAATAATTATTTCCTCCACTGTATATAATGCTATACCTTTTTGCTGCAGCTGTACACGCAATTTTCCATAGCCGTTGAGACCACGGAGTTAAACAAAATACAGCTAATCACGAAGTAGCACCAGTGTTTACGAACGCTAATGCCTCCTGTTGTGTCTTTGAGTGACATATGCTAAAGACAGCTCTTCACTGTGTAGACGACAGAATTATGATTTTCTATAACGAAGAAATGGCTCAGGTGCTGATATTGACCTTGGCCCTTTGACCCCCTATGAAAAGAAAATAGTCAGTAATTTGGGGATAAATTTGACTAATCACTTAATCTTGACACTCACGTAAATACAGTGGTGAGGTCCTGTTTTTTTAACCTGAAAAGACTACCCAGGATCAGGCCTCTGCTGTCCAGAGCTCATCTGGAGTCTGTGTTGCATGCTTTCGTCCTGTCCCGTCTGGACTACTGTGACGCTCTGTATGCCGGTCTGGCCCAGTGCACGGTTGCACGGCTCCAATTTGTACAGAACTCAGTGGCTAGGTTCCTGACAGGTACTAGATGTCGAGAGCACATTACCCCAGTGCTGGCTGCTCTGCACTGGCTCCCGGTGCAATATCGAGCTAAATTTAGGATCTTAACTCTTGTTTATAAGGCCCTCCAGGGCAGTGCCCCCTCTTACATTACTGCACTTTTGCACAAGTATGCTCCATCTCGGTCTCTTCGCTCAGCTAAGCAGGGACATCTGGTGGTCCTCCAGTCGAAATAGCGATCGAGGGGTTATTGTGCTTTTTCTGTTTTGGCTCCAACTCTGTGGAATGAATTGCCATTGAGCATTAGGCAGGCGCCGTCCCTTCAAATCTTTAAGACTCATTTTTATTTGATTGCTTTTCAGCGCTAGGGTTCATTAAATTGCCCTGACATTATGGTTTTATATAGTTCTTTTTTTTATCAGGATGCTTGATCTTATTTTGTCCACCATTTGTTTTTAATTGATTAGTCTCATTCCATTACCTCTCTGTATTTGTAATATTGCTTGCTTGTTATTTTATGATTTTATGTTTTTACCTTGCTTTTATGCCCAGGTACTGGGAATGTTTTTTATGATGATGCTGTTCAGCACCTTGGGCTTCTGATAACGTTGTGGAAGGTGCTCTACAAATAAAATTGATTGATTGATTAATGTCTAAATTCCTCAACAAAATAAAAAATAAAACATAGTTGATTTTTATATATCATTAGCAAAGTGTAGTTAAACTGAATTTCTACAATTTTAATGGAGAGTCTGGCTAATACCTTTAAAGAGGCATTTCCTTTGGTTACTGCCCCCATTGTACTGTACATCATGCTGCGTCACTGCCACCTAGGATTGACTGAATAGTGTTTGTTGTTAGCCTCAAGGGCAACCCGCTGGCTTCATTATCACTTGTAAGAATCAGAATCAGCTTTATTGCCAGTGCTCCAGCGTCCCAAAGCATAGGAACTTGACTCCGCAGCACAGCCTGACCAAAGTTACACACACACATACATGTAGACAAAACAGATACAGGCAGACCACGAGAGCAGCCATAACGGCGCTCATTTCAATTAGATGAAAAAGGAATTACATGAGGATAAAATGGGGGAGGGGAAAAAAGGCATTCCAGAGTTACTCCCGACAGGGCGTAGCTTTGCTATGCAAAAAAACACCTCAAACATATAAGCACGAACATCAACAGTTCACAACATGAGACTCCAGAAGGAAGGAGGGGGGCCTGGGATCCTGTTTCCCCAGCGAGAGCAGCCATCTGAGGCGCTCAGCCACTGTATCCACAGGTGGGAGGGAGATCTTGGGAGGAGCGCAGAACACATTGACACCTGCAGGTTGATGACCTCGCCAGGCTGAAAGTCCACCAATCCGAAGGTGGGGGGTAGGTCGGGATTTCACAGCATCTGTCTGCATTCCTTCATGGGGGTTTGTTGTTAGCAACTCGAAGGCTGTTATGGCGTCAGATTCGGATAACAAGACTTTGTTTGGGTCAGGCTGAGATAATTTTCCTCTCTGCCTTCAGTCTGTAACTGATCATTCAAGTCCTTCAGTGAAGCCAATTTAGGTTTTTAATCTTGTCCATACCGTCTGGTGACTCTCTCCGAGATGACATCCATTTTGCGCACTAATACCGGTATCGCAGCTAGAACATTGTCCAGCTCACGATTCACCTCGAGTAGCGTCCCAGTCTGTGAGGTCTCCACACGGACGGTGCTCTTCGTGGGTGCGGGTCGCCCTCCAATCGCTCCCATCTTCCCCAATTTCCAGAAAACCAGATATCCTCCCACTCCAATCAGAAGAAATCCAGTGATCATCAGACCAAACATCCACATGTCTTCAACGTCCTCAATGGACAGCTGGGAGAGGCATACGCTCTTCCACTCTTTCCAGGAATCGAGCATATACCCCGCCGGGTGTGTCCCTTGCGGGCAAGGGGAGCCCCCTGCTCCGTCCTCATTGTTGAGAAAATCTTATCAATTGCGTTGAATGACCAATTAATTAAATCCGTCATTAAAAAATAGTGTTTTTCAGAAGAAATGCAGAGAAGCGCTCTGTGGGCAGACAGGACAAAGAGCCTTGGGAAAAAAAGATAAGGGAGCGAAAAGAGAAGCGTCTGTTCTCTGCGAGTGCCAGAAGAGACAAACGTGGCTTTGGACAAACATGTCTGCTAAATACATAAACATAAACCCTTGGACATCCTCAGATTTTAGGTGTGCATGTCACACCCATGACCAGAGGCTTTGATTGGTGTGTAAGGAGATGATTTTATCCTGTAACTACAGAAAAGTTCAGCTTTATGAGGAGAGCCTTCACAATGTTGACAGCTGTACGCAGATGAGGAGGTTTCTCTGCAAGCTTGGAAAGTCAGACCCTCCACCTGCCACTAAGTTGGTAAACCATCAGAAAATATCAGTAATTAACACCGGGAAACGGCGGGGAGTTCCACACCGTAAGAAACAACCAAAAACACAAGAAATACAATTTCAAAATGGTTTTATACAGGGTTTGAATTGCGGGGAGCTAAGGGGAGCCGGCTCCCCCAAATGCGTGACAAGCTCCCCTGGAAGCTCTCAAATTACACACCCAGGGGGAGCCCAAAAAATCCTGGTTCTACTTATTTTACATTATTTATGTGGACTCCACGGATTCTTTTGAGCAGAGAGGACACAGAGCACCGATCGTTGATGCGCTCCAGGTAGGTGCGTCCTGCGCACGGTCACAGTAACCCCGGCTTTCCACGGGAGCCGTCAGCAGCACGTTACTGCAGCAGCACGTCATAGCTGCTGATAGGAACCGCTGTGGTCAACAGAACCTTTTCCACTGGAGCCGTCAGCAGCGCGAGTCGGCCGCGTCTCAGGAGCAGCATGTCGCGGCCTTAACGCGCCGGTTCTATTTTCTACGCGCGACGCCTCTGAAACGGGTCAAGTTCGACATTTTTGGGGAAGGAAAGACAGGAAATCGGACGCGGAAATGGAGAGAAGCTCCCGAGATTTTCAGAATAAAGAAACGTACTGCCTTCCGGTTGCTTTACTTTTAAAAACAGTTACTAACTGTGCGTCCCCGTGAGAAGTTATCACCTAGCTAGCGGTCTCCTTTGTTTTGCAGGTCCGTATTGGCGATTATAAAACGGACAGAACATAAAACACAAACCATGTTGTAGTTTTCTCCTGCTCGTTGTTGTGTTTACTGACGAAGTCACTCGTGTGACTTCGTGCTCTGTCGGTGACAGCTGCTCCCTGCTGCTTCGCGTCTCGTGGGAAGGGCCAAGCAGCAGCTTACGCGTGCAAGACGTGCTGCTGCAGTAACGTGCTGCTGACGGCTCCCGTGGAAACCCGGGGTAACATTCTCAAACTGTTGCCACCCCCCACCCCTCCCAAAAATAATAAATCAACATGTGATTGTTTATGTCATATACATATACATCCTCTGGTGCTTTATGTTTTTTATTGTGCCTGATGCACTTCGCTGCTGCTGATGGGAGCGCATCGCCCGTTTTCCCCTCCGGTGACTTCACCTAACTGTGCGGCCGGTGCACAGCACATACTCTACTATTTTTGCGGTCAGTAGATTCCTTTAAACTGCTTGGATGAAAGGTAACTCATGAGGTGAAAATATAGGAAGCCAGGCGGCAATTTTTGTGTAGGGTTGAGAGGAGACGCAGGAAGATGAGACAGAAAAGACAGAAAAATTGTCAAATAAAAACGGGAAGACAAAACAAAGTGTTTGAAAATGAAAATGTAGGTAAATTTATCGCACTACACGTATTTAACTCACTAAAGCAATCATTTATAAGAACGTAATATTTATTTATTTGATACAATTTAGATCTCCTTCAAAATTCTGTCCTGCACACAGGGCCGTATCAAGACATTTCGGGGGACAAGGCAAGAATTTTCTGAGTATCTGATCTGGGGTAGGTACTCAGAATGGCCCAGTTAAGCGAAACCTTGGGTTAACTCACACTGATTGGTTGTAACTCTGTAGGAAATTACAGTAACATTTTATGATGTTTGTTATTAAACATTTAGAAGTCATCATTAACTCACTCACTGCCAGCCGTTTCCTGATCACTAACGGCCTTCGCTGCCAGCGTTTCTCACCATTTTTACTGTTTTTTTAAGAGTCACAGAACGTTGCGCGCTAGCATGATGTCGATGCCAAAACAACCAAAACAAAGAGGAGACTCACCTCTTACATAAGGAAGAAACCACGTGTTTCGAGCGTTTTCATAATCCGTTGTCGAATTGTGATCGGCAGACGCTTTTCCGGTTCGCGCATCACTTTTTTTTTACAGGAACGGCCCAAAACGATCTCCAAACACGTGGATGTGTTGCTTCCTGATCATGTGATCTGTGACGTATGCGGATGAAGATCAGCTTCAGGGCTGAGATGCTTGTTCTCTCAGCGCGGGGGCTCATTCCGATGCTCAAACAGTAAAAAAATGCTAATGACGACTTTAGTCGTCAATGGCAGTGAAAGAGTTAAGTCATTAACATAACATCTGAAAGGTCTTAGATGATGAAGAACAAATCATTAGAGTGGGTTGTCTAGAAATCGTAAAACTGCAGGTTCAAGCCCAGCCAGACCAAATAATGCTGCCGTTGTGTCCTTGAGCAAGACACAAAGATTGCTCCCCATGGGAGGTACTAATGTCACTGTAATGCCCCACTATACAGTGGTAATAAAATGCATTCATCAGTACCTGTGTCCATGCTGTCCAGGTCCAGGTGGTGAAGAACACACGATGAATCAGTCCCAGATCCTGAAGTGGTAGCAGGTTTTCTTTAGCCGTGTTTAGCTAACAGCTGCAATAGAAACAAAGCAGGAGAGCTGATTAAGATGCTGCTTCAGAACAACGCAGGAGATTAAAGATCCAACGCTTTGGTTCTGATCAGCTGAGGACAGATCCAGTCTGGAAAAGAGGACCTTTGCTCACCAGAGTTCACGGAGTAGAGCTAACCGCTTTTTCCTCCAGAGTCACATTCAGATTCGGGGCTTTTCCGTCGGAGAGTGTGAGCAGGATGGATCAGAGAGCGAGCAGCGATCCTGCATCATGACCGACTCAGATGAGCGAGTCTGATAGAGGGAACCTCTTCAATCTGATGAAAGCAGCAAAACGAGCGCGTTTCTCAGAGAGGCCAAAGGAACAGCAGCAGATCCAGAGGGCAGGAAGTCTAGAGAAAAGCTTTTCTCACCCACAACCTGATTCTGGAGCTCCGATTGTCACGAAGACCGCAGAATATCTTCTCCGGTTCTGGAAAGAACTCCACCAAGTTGTTGAGGAGGAGAAGAAAGTTTCCACAGCCTGGTGAGAAGATTTCTGCAGCAGCAGCAGTTAGTCGCTTTAGCTGATCAACTCTCCCAGAGACTGAAGTGAAGACATTTTTACTGCAGAGCCTCAAATATTCTCCTCACACACCAGAACAACAAGAAGCTAGCTCTGCTAGCAGCTTCCGGTTTCTGCTTCTTCGGTGATAGCGAGCAGCGTAAAGGTGCATTACCGCCACCTAGTGGACTTGAGTGGAACAGAATGAACACCAAAACGTGTGTTCAGTAACGTGCGATATCTTACCCAGATAATTAAAGCAAACACAATCAGTTTTTTGTATTTTTACTTAACCAGTTTCTTCAACAGCCCTGAAAAACAAGTCAAATATACTTTTTCCTGTATGTTTTTCCATGATCTAAATCTCACTTATTATTATTTTTTTTGCTTTCACTGAAAGTTTTCCGTTACTCACTGTTGAAGTGCAGGTAAACACGTGTCAGAACCATGCTGTGGTTTAAACCAACCTGATTATCTGTAGAAGTGATAGAACCACTTATCCTATCCAGCAGGATTGTCAACCCAACTCAGACTTTATTTGTATTGGCCTTACAGACATGAAACATGGCACCAAGGTGCTTCACATACAAAATAAAATCAATCAAAAACATAAAACCAACACTGGCAGAACAAAAGCAGCAGTATAAATCATGTACTAAAACTCACAATCAGTGGGAAAAGCCAAGTCATAAAAATTAGGTCTTCAGCCTTGTTTTAAAATCCGCCACTGAAGTAGAAGCCATTATGGATGGGGTGACCAGATCCCAACTTGCCAAATGTGGTACAGAGACTACTCAATGTGGGACAACATGAAGTTAATGACCAAAAAATAAATAAAAATAACGTACATTTTAGCCCTAAGATCACTGTTACATATACATAAAATGATTATTCTTATTATCATCATAAATTTCTTGTATATGTTTTATTTGAATTCAACATGAACAAGCATGGGCTCACCTTACCGTGGTGGAGGGGTTTGAGTGTCTCAATGATCCTAGGAGCTAAGTTGTCTGAGGCTTTCTGCCCCATGGCAAACAGGTCCTAGGTGAGGGATCAGACAAAGAGCAGCCCGAAAACCTCTTATGATGAATTATATAAATGGGAACTGTGTTCCCTCGCCCGGATGTGGGTCACTAGAGCCACCCTCTGGAGCCAGGCCTGGAGGTGGGGCACGTTGGCGAGCGCCTGGTGGCCGGGCTTTCACCCATGGAGCCCGGCCGGGCACAGCCCGAAGAGGAAACGTGGGTCCCCCTTCCCTTGGGCTCACCACTCGTGGGAGGGGCCAAAGGGGTCGGGTGCTGTGTGTGACGGGTGGTAGTTGAGGGCGGGGACCTTGGCGGTCTGATCCTCGGCTACAGAAGCTGGCTCTTGGCACATGGATTGTCAACTCTCTGGTGGGGAAGGAGCCTGAGTTGGTGTGTGAGGTTGAGAGGTTCCAACTAGATATAGTCAGACTCACCTCAATGCATGGCTCTGGCTCTGGAACCAGTTTCCTTGAGACGACTCTTGTTGTGATTTGGCGCTATATAAATAAACTTGAATTGAAATGAATTGAATTGAGAGGGGTTAGACTTTCTACCACTCTGGAGTTGCTCCCACTGAGAGGTGCCGAGCAGGGGTGGGCATACTAGTTGCCCCCCATCTTGGTGCCTGTATGTTGGGGTTTACCCCAGTGAATGAGAGGGTAGCCTCCCTCTGCCTACGTGTGGGGGGATGGGTTCTGACTGTGGTCTGTGCTTATGCACCAAACTACAGTTCAGATTACCCACCCTTTTTGGAGACCTTAGAGGGGGTGCTGCAAAGTGTTCCTTCTGGTGACTCCCTCATTCTGCTGGGGGACTTTAACGCTCACGTGGGCAACAACAGTAAGACCTGGAGAGGTGTGGTTGGGAGGAACGGCCCCCCTGATCTGATTCTGAGCGGTGTTTTGTTATTGGACTTCTGTACTCGTCATGGATTGTCCATAATGAACACCATGTTCAGACATAAAGGTGTCCACATGTGCTCTTGGCACCAGGATACCTTAGGCCGCAGCTCGATGATCGACTTTGTTGTTGTTTTGTCTGACCTGCGGCCGCATGTCCTGTTCCGTGCCTCCATTGTTGAGGCGGCCGACCGGAGCTCTGGTCGCAGGATCTGTCGTCATGGCAACCCCCGGACCCGCTGGTGGACACCGGCAATTAGGGATGCTGTCAAGGCGAAGAAAGAGTCCTATCAGGTCTTTTTGGCCTGTGGGACTCCAGAGGCAGCTGACGGGTACCGGCAGTCCAAGCGGAACGCGGCTCGGGTGGTTGCCAAGGCAAAAACCCAGGCATGGAAGGAGTTCGGTGAGACCATGGAGCAAGACTTCTGTACAGCTTTGAGGAGATTCTGGTCCACCATCCGGTACCTCAGGGGGGGAAAGCAGTGCGCTACCAACACTATCTATAGTGGGGACGGTGTGCTGCTGACCTCTACTCAGGACGTTGTGGATCGGTGGGCAGAATACTTCGAAGACCTCCTCAATCCCACCGACAGGTCTTCCAGTGAGGAGGCAGAGTCTGGGGACTTTGGGTTGGCCTCTCAAATCTCTGGTGCTGAGGTAACTGAGGTGGTTAAAAAGCTCCTCTGTGGCAAGGCTCCGGGGGTGGATGAGATCCGCCGTCTTGATTCGGAAAAGGGTAGAATGCCTTCTCCGGGTCAGGGATGAGGTCCTGCCCCAAGTGGAGGACTTTAAGTATCTCGGGGTCTTGTTCACAAGTGAGGAAAATATGGAGTGTGAGATGGATAGGCGGATTGGTGCTGCATCTGCAGTGATGCAGGTGTTGTACCGGTCTGTCGTGGTGAAGAGAGAGCCGAGTCAGAAGACGAAGCTCTCGATTTACCGGTCGATCTACGTTCCTACCCTCACCTATGGTCATGAGCTTTGGGAAGTGACTGAAAAAACGAGATCGCGGATACAAGCGGCCGAAATGAGTTTTCTCCACAGAGTGGCTGGGCTCTTCCTTAGAGATAGGGTGAGAAGTTTGGTCATTCAGGAGGGGCTCGGAGTAGACCCGCTGCTCCTCCACATCGAGAGGAGCCAGTTGAGGTGGCTTGGGCATCTGGTCAGGATGCCTCCTGGACGCCTCCCTGGTGAGGTTTTCCGGGCACGTCCAACCGGGAGGAGACCTAAAGGTAAACCCAGGACACGGTGGAGGGACTATGTCTCTCAGCTGGCCAGAGAACGCCTTGGGATTCCTCTAGAGGGGCTGGCCCAAGTGGCTGGGGAGAGGGAAGTCTGGGACTCTCACCTTAGGCTACTGCCCCCGCAACCTGACTCCGGATAAGCAGATGAAATTGGATGGATGATGGATGAACAAGCATACAGCAAAAGCATTACTATTTCACAGTTCTTCTCAAGTTGCCACAACATAACTCAGGCTCTTTGGGCCTTAAAGTGGCTCTGATCATTTTGATAATACAGATAGGCCCACAGTAATAAAAAATGCAGGTTTAAGCAGCTTTTTCAGAGTTTTCATTGAATGTTTCCCACAACAGAATGACAGTAAAAGTACCAGTAATATATTTTTTTGATCTTTTATGTTTGTTTTTAAATAATTTTCCACTAAAATCAGCATCTCATTTAAAATATCCATAATTTTTGCTATTTTCTTCATTATTCAGAAACAAAACGTTTTTTTTCAACATGACAACAAATCTCTTCTTGATTTTAGGTGAGAGAATAAACATCAGATTATAATCTCTAAAAAATTCAGACCTAATTTAATAATAGTTTCTTAGAGTTACTTTTTGCCTCAAATTTCTGAGAATCAGTGATCAAAGCTTCCATTAATTCTCATTATTTCTTCACTGGGCTCAGCATGTATGCAGGTATCTGAAACCGCAGCATGTGTGACAAGGACAAGATGGCGTTGGTGGGAACCCCCTTTTTTGTTTCAAAATTGTACAGTATAAGAGAAATGGGCGGGCTATGTCCAGAGATATATCCGATCCTAACACACAGATCAGTGTTTTTGCAGAGACGGATTTGAGTCCAGTAGGGGGCGGTAATGAGCCTTTACGCTGGTTGATCACTGCCAAGAGCTTTAACAGAGAAAGGAAAACGGAAGCTATTAGCAAAGGTAGCTTCTTGTTGTTTTGGTGTTCACTTCAGTCTCTGGGAGAGTTGATCAGCTAAAGCGACTAACTGCTGCTGCTTTCTTCTCCTCCTCAACAACTTGGTGGAGTTCTTTCCAGAACCAGAGAAGATATTCTGCGGTCTTCGTGACAATCGGAGCTCCAGAATCAGGTTGTGGGTGAGAAAAGCTTTTCTCTAGACTTCCTGCCCTCTGGATCTGCTGCTGTTCCTTTGGCCTCTCTGAGAAACGCGCTCGTTTTGCTGCTTTCATCAGATTGAAGAGGTTCCCTCTATCAGACTCGCTCATCTGAGTTGGTCATGATGCAGGATCGCTGCTCGCTCTCTGATCCATCCTGCTCACACTCTCCGACGGAAAAGCCCCGAATCTGAATGTGACTCTGGAGGAAAAAGCGGTTAGCTCTACTCCGTGAACTCTGGTGAGCAAAGGTCCTCTTTTCCAGACTGGATCTGTCCTCAGCTGATCAGAACCAAAGCGTTGGATCTTTAATCTCCTGCGTTGTTCTGAAGCAGCATCTTAATCAGCTCTCCTGCTTTGTTTCTATTGCTGCTGTTAGCTAAACACGGCTAAAGAAAACCTGCTACCACTTCAGGATCTGGGACTGATTCATCGTGTGTTCTTCACCACCTGGACCTGGACAGCATGGACACAGGTACTGATGTGTGTGTGTCAGGGCCAGATTAACACTTTGTTGTACCCTGGGCAACAATATTCAAGGGCCCCATCATCACGACCCAAGGATCACCATAATATGGTCACATACAGAATATATTACTGTAATATGCAGTAAATATACTCAATACTTGAATGCCTGACATCACGTAACCCGCTCAGGGTAACCTTTGACCCACCTCGTGTGGACTGACCAATGAGGAGAGGGTCTTAACTTGAGGCCCTCTCTTCATTGGTCAGTCTGCATGAGACTGACTCTCAACTGACGTTCAGTCATAGGCAGCGAAGCGTCTCTGTGCAGTGCAAAAGCCCGGGTGGACAGTTTGTTTAACAGGGTGATCATATTTCCATTTCCAAACAAGAGGACAGGGGATCTGTGCCTATGACGTCACACTATGGCAACGCCACACAAACCACGTTGGGACCCATTTTTTGTAAGAACTAAATTAATATCAGATTCTGCCAATAAAAGGGCTCCAAAACAATTCATATGTAAATATTTAGCATATTTATTGCAAAATCTCATTTTTTCTAATTTTGTGCTGCAACAAGGTTTTATTAATAATAAATTATTATACCTTTTGTTTTACTACAGCATCGGTACGCTTCCTGTGCACAGATTATTAAGGGTGCTTGTTTCAGCTGTGAGATTAGACAATAGGATCAATGAAAAAATAAATTGTCACACACTCCATAGAAACTTTCAGAGAATCCACAAATAGTGGCTTTCAAATGGTTTTGTTACTTTTTACAAGTCTAGAAAAGCAGCAGATGAGACAGCATGTCTGATCATTTAGTTTTTCATCTGATAATATTAGAACATGTCAGTGATGTCTGAGGGGCTTTTACAAACACCATATAACTAACACTACTGGAGAGGGTATGAATTACACAGAGGCTTCTGGGGGTCCCAGTTGGGGGGGGGGGGGGGGCATTTTGCCTTGGCCCCCAAAATGTCTTGAAACGGCCCTGGGTGTGTGACTGAGTTTTGAAGGTGATCTGAATTGTATCAGATGTATAAATATGACATGTGTATAACTTATTGTTTTATACAGGTAAAAACGTGTAGTGGAGATAAATCTACCCACATTTTACTTTTCAACACTTTGTTTTGTTTTCTTGGTGGATACCTAGGCTGAGGGGGTTTAGCTTTTATTCTGACAGGAACCGTTGCAGCAGTTGGAACAGCAACGAATTTTCCAGCTTGTCGTTGGATCTTTCGGCTGAAGAGGAAAGTTACGGATTGGCCACTCCGACAACTTCTCTAGAACGCTTTGAACTGGCGTTGGAGATGACGTGGCATAGTTTTATACTTCGGATGTTATGGTTTATGGTTTATGGTCGAATGAAAAGATGACAGATTTACCAAACACCATCAAAACCACGCCTTCGTCACATCTGGCAGATTCTGATTGGATCAGTGAAAGTAATGTGTCATGTCTTTTAACGCTACATGAGATCAGTCCTATTGGAACATTTAAAGTCATAGTACCTTTATATTCAATAGGATTATAATAAAGTAATTAATATTTTGATTTCACAGATCGGTCACATCTTATTTATTGACTAACACTTTGCTTGATTAGCTTGTTAAACTAGAGTTCTTTGATTAGTTAAAAGAAAAGAGTTCATTCTTCATTCTTCTGTTGAGCTGAAAACAAGCAGGTTAGAAGCAAATGCATGAGACCTTGAGGCCATATCTCATGCAGACTAGTTCTGTGCAGAGGAGGGGGAAAACAGTCATTTCATTCTGTTACAGCTCCAAGGTTGTTTAAAGTGGTTGCAGTAACCAAATTTTACCACAGGTTGCCATTTTTACTTAATTTCTACTAGTGTTGTCAAAAAAATCGATACCTAGATATAAATCGATACTAAAAGTGGTATCTAAATGAGATATTCCATCCCTGTGGTATCGATATTATGGACTGTTATACACAGCCTTCTTCAAGTACACCGACACGCACAACAGCCAGATGCCGTAAAGCAGCCTCCGCCTCCCAGACAAACAGAAGAAGAAGACGCCGCATGGCTACATTGCAGTTTCCCACGCGAGTAGTCTCCGATCCAAGTTTTGTCTGCCAAATAAATAAACAAAAACATAAACAGCGAATTTGGGAGGCGCTTCACAGCCCAACTTAATTAGCATACCAAGTCCGACACGTAGTTGTATATTCACGCTTATGTGCTTAAAGGAAACTCCCGTTTATTGCAACCCGGACTTAATTTCTAGCATGCAGTACGTTTGTTTACTCACGCTGACAACTTTGGTGCTACTTGGATTCCCCGGGGTATTTAGATCCATCGGCGAATCGCCATCAGCGTATATCCATATAACGGGTGCGGATGGGCACCCATGGTGCAGCCTCGAAATAAGACATTATCTGCACCAAAACATCTCAGTGTCGAAAGGTTTTGTTAGGAATCATTAACGTGATTCCCCCTGTTCGTTTGGAGCGGGTCTGGGATTTCTAGGTGTAAACAGACTAGCTGCGGCTAATCTAACCGGCGCTTTTAATGACGTCACTGCCGTGCGCCAGTCTGTTTTTATTAAGATTACCGGTAGATGTACCTTTGTCCTACTGAGGAGAAATTCGTTTTCTCCCTTTATTGACCAACAGAGTTGTTCAAAAGTACAGAACAAAACATATGGCATTACTTCTTATGACAAAAATGCACCTTAAACAGAGTTTAAGCAGCAAAACATCACTCTGCAAATAGTGTATGTATAGTGAGACAATTCATGATTTAAAGTGTTAACTTTCGCCAGTTTTTATATGCATGGTTTAAAAAATGCTGATACTTGAAAGGTTTAAGCACTTTATACACTTAATTCGTAACATTTAATTTTTGCAATATAAATTGAGGAATGTTATTTTTTGAATAAACTTGTTCAATAAATTGGTGTTTTTAAATAGTATCGAAATCGAGCATCGAGTTTTTTTCCAGTATCGAATCGAGTTTGAAATTTTAGTATCGTGACAACCCTAATTTCTACATAACGCATCATTAACGGAAATTAACTGGTTAACTATGTACTTCCCCACCATCAAATCCATCAAACCGTCCTCTGTTCTCCGTGAATTGCTGTCTGTCCTCTGCTAGCAGAGCTGTGTGTGTGTGTGTGTGCGAGCGAGCTGTTGTTAAGCGTTTGCACTACTTATACAGCATAAGGATGAAGCCATCCTTAAACTGACCAAAAAGTAACTGTTATCTTGAGTACATTTTATTTAAGATATTTTTTACTTTTACTTGAGTTCAAATGTAAGCAAATACCTTTTGTTGTACTTGAGAAAAAAAACATTAAATAATTGGTACTTTTAATAGGTAGAAAATTTCAGTACGCTTTCCTCTCCTCTGGTAATTCACATAATGTGTTTCTGTGTTTCCTACAGATGTCCATCAGGTGGTGCTGGTTAAAAAAGAAGTTCTTGATGAACAGAGTGCTGGTGTGGACCAGCAGAACCCAAAACACCTCCATATGAAGGAGGAACAAGAGGAACTCTGGACCAGTGTGGAAGGAGAATATCTCCATTTGAAGGAGGAGACTGATGCTGCCAGGTTTCGGTTCACTGATATTTCTATAAAGAGTGAAGATGATGAAGAGAAACCTCTGTTTTCAGAGCTTCATCAGCAGCAAATAGAAGACAGAAATGTTCCAACCACCAGTTCTGCTGACCAGATGACAGCAGACACTGGTGGAGGAGCAGAAACTAGCAGGAACCCAGACCTGAACCCTCATGAACAGATATCCGATTCTTCAGAGACTGAAGTTAGTGGAGATGATGAAGATGATGATGTGAATCTAAACTCTGAGCTGTCAGACTTTGGGGCTAGAACTGGAGATGGAGACGATGACTGGAATGAGAGCAGATCTTCTGTGTCAGATGTTAAGACGATTAACAAATCTTTTAGCTGTCCTGAGTGTGGTGAACAATTTCTCCACAAATGGTCTCTCCAGAAACATGTGAGAGTGACAAGTCATTCAGCAATAAGGTCTTTAGACTGTTTGGTTAAAAAGAAGTGTGTTGGAGCGACACAACAAGTAGAATCATGCAAGAAAGTCCAGACAAAAGTAAAATCTTTTAGCTGTGATTTGTGTGGACAGGGATTTAACCAGAAGTCAACTTTAAACAGACACACGAGAGTCCACTCTGGACAGAAACCTTTTGCCTGTGAGTTCTGTGGAAAAAGATTTAGCCAAAAGACAAGTTTAAACTATCATACAAGAGTCCACACAGGACAGAAACCTTTTGCCTGTGAGCTCTGTGGACAAAGGTTCAGCCAAAAGACAATTTTAAACATACATATGAGAGTCCACACAGGACAGAAACCTTTTGCCTGTGAGTTCTGTGGAAAAAGATTTAGCCAAAAGACACATTTAAACTATCATATAAGAGTCCACACAGGACAGAAACCTTTTGCCTGTGAGCTCTGTGGACAAAGGTTCAGCCGAAAGGCAAGTTTAAACATACATATGAGAGTCCACACAGGACAGAAACCTTTTGCCTGTGAGCTCTGTGGACAAAGATTTAGCCATAAGACAACTTTAACCTATCACACAAGAGTCCACACAGGACAAAAACCTTTCGCTTGTGAGCTCTGTGGGCAGAGATTCAGTGGAAAGACAAGTTTAAATAGTCACACGACAATCCACACAGGACAGAAACCTTTTGCTTGTGAGCTCTGTGGGCAGATATTTAACCGAAAGACTAGTTTAAATCGTCACATGAGCATCCACACAAGACATAAACTTTTTACTTGTGAACATTGTGGAAAAATATTTAGCCAAAAGCCACAGTTAAACAGACACATGACAGTCCATACAGGACAGAAGCCCTTAGCTTGTGAGCTCTGTGGACAAAGATTTTACCATAAGACGGATGTAAACAGACACATGATCGTTCACACAGGACAGAAACCTATTGCTTGTGAGCTCTGTGGACAGAGATTTAGCCAAAAGACAAATTTAAACAGACATATGAGAGTCCACACAGAACACAAGGAACATATTTAACTACAAGTGCTCTCAATTTTTTATGTCTTGCAACCCTCGGTAACTGTCCTTTAATCTAGATCAGGACCTGTGTGTGTGGACATAGCTCAATGAACTAAAAACAAGATAAAAAAAAAGTGCTCACAGAACCTCTTTGCCATCCTGGATTATTGCAAACAACGAGCTGAGCTCGCGAGCAGCAGCAGGAAGATTTATTTTGGTAAGCTATCGGTTAAGTATTTTCTGGAGTTAAATCATTATGTCCATGCAGCTGTAAATTTGGCAGCACATTATTTATTTATCTGTATATTACTGAATTATATTGGGACAGTATGATGGAGCTAAGACCAGCTGAGAACATGTCAGCTTAGGGTTCCCGGTGGGAGCCCTACAAGCACAGAAATGAAATATTTAAAAGTAAAAAAACTACTGATTTGGTTTTGAAGGTGAACAGGATCCAAATCAGGTTGCGCCTCTTCTGAGTCAAAAGATCCAAAACATGTCTGCACCTGCGGTATCCAGCTAGCGGGGTCGGAGTTCAGTCAAACTTCACCGGTAATCCAAAATCTGTTCTCGTCACCGTGTACCAGAGAAAACAGCAAATCTGATCGACCAGCAGAGGCTTCAGAAGCTACATCTGACTGACTGACTGACTGATTGACTGACACATTGTTCTCTGCTATAACACTAATTCAGAACCAGAACAGAGTACAGGGTTTCTTTCAGTTGCTGATTCTGCAGACTTCCTTGTGAAACAACACCAGATGCCCAGGGCTTAGACCGGAAGCTAGTTTCTGTTTTTCCTGCGCCAGTCAAAAACATCAAATTTTCTTAAAATTCCAGCCGTGAAAGTCCAAAAACCTTTTTCATCTGAGGTTTTAATACTTATTTACAGATGCCATTCAAATGAATTTAGCCTCTGGCCGATATCTTTAACTTTGTTTCTTTTTCATTTTTAAATTGTATTTTCTCCCATGTTGATTTTAATGTTCTTGCTATTCTTACTAAGGTACTACATTGAATTGCCTCTGCGTATCAAATGTGCAATATAAATAAAGCTACCTTGCGTTGTCTAGTGTTTTGTATGACCACTGTGATTTTCAAGGACAGCTCAAAGGACTCATTGAATGAACAAGTTGGCAAGATGTTGCAACATCTCTTTTTCCATTCTTCAAGAAGAACCTCTTTTAGAGCCTGGATGCTGGATAGAGAGTACATATATATATATATATATGCTGGATTTTATTTTTTTTACTCACAAATCATGAACTATGTTTTTGGTGTAAACTAATCTAGTCTAGGTTTCAAGAGCCTAGGTTTTGTGGTTTTATAATGAAAGATTATAGATGTAACAGAAGTGAAAAAATTGGTAAGATTTGCCCTTTCCTAATCAGAAACCAGAAATGGGAACCAACTTCAGCTTTGTCAGAGAGACAAACAGATAAACACCAGCAAAAATATAACCTCCTTGGCAGATTTAATTTGGGATTTTCATCCTTCCATCCATTGTCTGACACTTGTCCAGTGCTGGGTTGCGAGGGTAGTAGCCTAAGCAGAGAGGCCCAAGATGGCGTTGGTGGGAACCCCCTTTTTTGTTTCAGAATTGTACAGTATAAGAGAAATGGGCGGGCTATGTCCAGAGATATATCCGATCCTAACACACAGATCAGTGTTTTTGCAGAGACGGATTTGAGTCCAGTAGGGGGCGGTAATGAGCCTTTACGCTGGTTGATCACTGCCAGGAGCTTTAACAGAGAAAGGAAAACGGAAGCTATTAGCAAAGGTAGCTTCTTCTTGTTTTGGTGTTCACTTCAGTCTCTGGGAGAGTTGATCAGCTAAAGCGACTAACTGCTGCTGCTTTCTTCTCCTCCTCAACAACTTGGTGGAGTTCTTTCCAGAACCGGAGAAGATATTCTGCGGTCTTCGTGACAATCGGAGCTCCAGAATCAGGTTGTGGGTGAGAAAAGCTTTTCTCTAGACTTCCTGCCCTCTGGATCTGCTGCTGTTCCTTTGGCCTCTCTGAGAAACGCGCTCGTTTTGCTGCTTTCATCAGATTGAAGAGGTTCCCTCTATCAGACTCGCTCATCTGAGTTGGTCATGATGCAGGATCGCTGCTCGCTCTCTGATCCATCCTGCTCACACTCTCCGACGGAAAAGCCCCGAATCTGAATGGGACTCTGGAGGAAAAAGCGGTTAGCTCTACTCCGTGAACTCTGGTGAGCAAAGGTCCTCTTTTCCAGACTGGATCTGTCCTCAGCTGATCAGAACCAAAGCGTTGGATCTTTAATCTCCTGCGTTGTTCTGAAGCAGCATCTTAATCAGCTCTCCTGCTTTGTTTCTATTGCAGCTGTTAGCTAAACACGGCTAAAGAAAACCTGCTACCACTTCAGGATCTGGGACTGATTCATCGTGTGTTCTTCACCACCTGGACCTGGACAGCATGGACACAGGTACTGATGTGTGTGTGTGTCAGGGCCAGATTAACACTTTGTTGTACCCTGGGCAACAATATTCAAGGGCTCCATCATCACGACCCGAGGATCACCATAATGTGGTCACATACAGAAAATATTACTGTAATATGCAGTAAATATACTCAATACTTGAATGCCTGACATCACGTAACCCGCTCAGGGTAACCTTTGACCCACCTCGTGTGGACTGACCAATGAGGAGAGGGTCTTAACTTGAGGCCCTCTCTTCATTGGTCAGTCTGCATGAGACTGACTCTCAACTGACGTTCAGTCGTAGGCAGCGAAGCGTCTCTGTGCAGTGCAAAAGCCCGGGTGGACAGTTTGTTTAATAGGGTGACCATATTTCCATTTCCAAACAAGAGGACAGGGATCTGTGCCTATGACGTCACACTATGGCAACGCCACACAAACCACGTTGGGACCCATTTTTTTGTAAGAATTAAATTAATATCAGATTCTGCCAATAAAAGGGCTTTAAAACAATTCATATATAAATATTTTGCATATTTATTGCAAAATCTCATTTTTCTGCTTTAGTGCTGCAACAAGGGTTTATTAATAATAAATTATTATACCTTTTGTTTTACTACAGCATCGGTAAGCTTCCTGTGCACAGATTATTAAGGATGCTTGTTTCAGCTGTGAGATTAGACGATAGGATCAATGATAAAATAAGTTGTCCCACACTCCATGGAAACTTTCAGAGAATCCACAAATAGTGGCTTTCAAATGGTTTTGTTACTTTTTACAAGTCTAGAAAAGCAGCAGATGAGACGGCATGTCTGATAGTTTAGTTTTTCTTCTTGTGGCAAGGTGGATAAACGAGGGCCCGGGTGGGATTCGATCCCCAGACTCCCGGGTGAGAGTCATACGCTCTAACCAGTCAGCCAAAGGGACATCCCCTTGGCCAAGTAGCCGGGGCGCATGATCAATCAGGACATTGTGACAGGACACTCACACTGTCACAATCTGATAATATTAGAACATGTCAGTAATGTCTGAGGGGCTTTTACAAACACTGTATAACTAATACTACTGGAGAGGGTATGAATTACACAGAGGCTTCTGGGGAGCCCAGTTATTGGGGGGGGGGGGGGGGGGTGTCATTTTGCCTTGGCCCCCAAAATGTCTTGAAACGGCCCTGGGTGTGTGACTGAGTTTTGAAGGTGATCTGAATTGTATCAGATGTACAAATATTACTTGTGTAGAACTCATTGTTTTTATACAGGTAAAAACGTGTAGTGGAGATAAATCTACCTACATTTTACTTTTCAACACTTTGTTTTGTTTTCTTGGTGGATACCTAGGCTGAGGGGGTTCAGCTTTTATTCTGACAGGAACCGTTGCAGCAGTTGGAACAGCAACGAATTTTCCAGCTTGTCGTTGGATCTTTTGGTTGAAGAGGAGAGTTACGGATTGGCCACTCCGACAACTTCTCTAGAACGCTTTGAACTGGCGTTGGAGATGACGTGGCATAGTTATATACTTCGGATGTTATGGTTTATGGTCGAATGAAAAGTTGAAAGACTTACCAAACACCATCAAAACCACGCCTTCGTCACATCTGGCAGATTCTGATTGGATCAGTGAAAGTAATGTGTCATGTCTTTTAACGCTACGTGAGATCAGTCCTATTGGAACATTTAAAGTCATAGTACCTTTATATTCTATAGGATTATAATAAAGTAATTAATATTTTGATTTCACAGATCGGTCACATCTTATTTATTGACTAACACTTTGCTTGATTAGCTTGTTAAACTAGAGTTCTTTGATTAATTAAAAGAAAAGAGTTCATTCTTCTGTTGAGCTGAAAACAAGCAGGTTAGAAGCAAATGCATGAGACCTTGAGGCCATATCTCCTGCAGACTAGTTCTGTGCAGAGGAGGGGGAAAACAGTCATTTCATTCTGTTACAGCTCCGAAGTTGTTTAAAGTGGTTGCAGTAACCAAATTTTACCACAGGTTGCCATTTTTACTTAATTTCTACTAGTGCTGTCAAAAAAATCGATACCCAGATATAAATCGATACTAAAAGTGGTATCTAAATTAGATATTCCATCCCTGTGGTATCGATATTATGGACTATTATACACAGCCTTCTTCAAGTACACCGACACGCACGACAGCCAGATGCCGTAAAGCAGCCTCCGCCTCCCAGACAAACAGAAGAAGACGCCGCATGGCTACATTGCAATTTCCCACGCGAGTTGTCTCCGATCCAAGTTTTGTTTGTCAAATAAACATAAACATAAACAGCGAATTTGGGAGGCGCTTCACAGCCCAACTTAATTAGCATACCAAGTCTGACACGTAGTTGTATATTCACGCTTATGTGCTTAAAGGAAACTCCCGTTTATTGCAACCCGGACTTAATTTCTAGCATGCAGTACGTTTGTTTACTCACGCTGACAACTTTGGTGCTACTTGGATTCCCCGGGGTATTAAGATCCATCGGCGAATCGCCATCAGCGTATATCCATATAACGGGTGCGGACGGGCACCCATGGTGCAGCCTCAAAATAAGACATTATCTGCACCAAAACATCTCAGTGTCGAAAGGTTTTGTTAGGAATCATTAACGTGATTCCCCTGTTCGTTTGGAGCGGGTCTGGGATTTCTAGGCGTGAACAGACTAGCTGCGGCTAATTAACCGGCGCTTTTAATGACATCACTGCCGTGCGCCAGTCTGTTTTTATTAAGATTACCGGTAGATGTACCTTTGTCCTACTGTGGAGAAATTCGTTTTCTCCCTTTATTGACCAACAGAGTTGTTCAAAAGTACAGAACAAAACATATGGCATTACATCTTATGACAAAAATGCACCTTAAACAGAGTTTAAGCAGCAAAACATCACTCTGCAAATAGTGTATGTATAGTGAGACAATTCATGATTTAAAGTGTTAACTTTCGCCAGTTTTTGTATGCATGGTTTAAAAAACGCTGATACTTGAAAGGTTTAAGCACTTTATACACTTAATTCGTAACATTTAATTTTTGCAATATAAATTGAGGAATGTTATTTTTTGAATAAACTTGTTCAATAAATTGGTGTTTTTAAATAGTATCGAAATCGAGCATCGAGTTTTTTTCCAGTATCGAATCGAGTTTGAAATTTTAGTATCGTGACAACCCTAATTTCTACATAATGCATCATTAACAGAAATTAACTGGTTAATTATGTACTTCTTCACCATCAAACCGTCCTCTGTTCTCCGTGAACTGCTGTCTGTCCTCTGCTAGCAGAGCTGTGTGTGTGTGCGAGCGAGCTGTTGTTAAGCGTTTGCACTACTTATACAGCATAAGGATGAAGCCATCCTTAAACTGACCAAAAAGTAACTGTTATCTTGAGTACATTTTATTTAAGATATTTTTTACTTTTACTTGAGTTCAAATGTAAGCAAATACCTTTTGTTGTACTTGAGAAAAAAAACATTAAATAATTGGTACTTTTAATAGGTAGAAAATTTCAGTACGCTTTCCTCTCCTCTGGTAATTCACATAATGTGTTTCTGTGTTTCCTACAGATGTCCATCAGGTGGTGCTGGTTAAAAAGGAAGTTCTTGATGAACAGAGTGCTGGTGTGGACCAGCAGAACCCAAAACACCTCCATATGAAGGAGGAACAAGAGGAACTCTGGACCAGTGTGGAAGGAGAATATCTCCATTTGAAGGAGGAGACTGATGCTGCCAGGTTTCGGTTCACTGATATTTCTATAAAGAGTGAAGATGATGAAGAGAAACCTCTGTTTTCACAGCTTCATCAGCAGCAAATAGAAGACAGAAATGTTCCAACCACCAGTTCTGCTGACCAGATGACAGCAGACACTGGTGGAGGAGCAGAAACTAGCAGGAACCCAGACCTGAACCCTCATGAACAGATATCCGATTCTTCAGAGACTGAAGTTAGTGGAGATGATGAAGATGATGATGTGAATCTAAACTCTGAGCTGTCAGACTTTGGGGCTGGAACTGGAGATGGAGACGATGACTGGAATGAGAGCAGATCTTCTGTGTCAGATGTTAAGACGATTAACAAATCTTTTAGCTGTCCTGAGTGTGGTGAACAATTTCTCCACAAATGGTCTCTCCAGAAACATGTGAGCGTGACAAGTCATTCAGCAATAAGGTCTTTAGACTGTTTGGTTAAAAAGAAGTGTGTTGGAGCGACACAACAAGTAGAATCATGCAAGAAAGTCCAGACAAAAGTAAAATCTTTTAGCTGTGATTTGTGTGGACAAGGATTTAGCCAGAAGTCAACTTTAAACAGACACACGAGAGTCCACTCTGGACAGAAACCTTTTGCCTGTGAGTTCTGTGAAAAAAGATTTAGCGAAAAGACGCATTTAAACTATCATATAAGAGTCCACACAGGACAGAAACCTTTTGCCTGTGAGCTCTGTGGACAAAGGTTCAGCCGAAAGGAAAGTTTAAACAAACATATGAGAGTCCACACAGGACAGAAACCTTTTGCCTGTGAGTTCTGTGAAAAAAGATTTAGCGAAAAGACGCATTTAAACTATCATATAAGAGTCCACACAGGACAGAAACCTTTTGCCTGTGAGCTCTGTGGACAAAGGTTCAGCCGAAAGGAAAGTTTAAACATACATATGAGAGTCCACACAGGACAGAAACCTTTTGCCTGTGAGTTCTGTGAAAAAAGATTTAGCGAAAAGACGCATTTAAACTATCATATAAGAGTCCACACAGGACAGAAACCTTTTGCCTGTGAGCTCTGTGGACAAAGGTTCAGCCAAAAGACGCATTTAAACATACATATGAGAGTCCACACAGGACAGAAACCTTTTGCCTGTGAGTTCTGTGGTAAAAGATTTAGCCAAAAGGCGCATTTAAACCATCATATAAGAGTCCACACAGGACAGAAACCTTTTGCCTGTGAGCTCTGTGGACAAAGGTTCAGCCGAAAGGAAAGTTTAAACATACATATGAGAGTCCACACAGGACAGAAACCTTTTGCCTGTGAGTTCTGTGGACAAAGATTTAGCCATAAGACAACTTTAACCTATCACACAAGAGTCCACACAGGACAAAAACCTTTCGCTTGTGAGCTCTGTGGGCAGAGATTCTGTGGAAAGACAAGTTTAAATAGTCACACGACAATCCACACAGGACAGAAACCTTTTGCTTGTGAGCTCTGTGGGCAGATATTTAACCGAAAGACTAGTTTACATCGTCACATGAGCATCCACACAAGACATAAACTTTTTACTTGTGAACATTGTGGAAAAATATTTAGCCAAAAGCCACAGTTAAACAGACACATGACAGTCCATACAGGACAGAAGCCTTAGCTTGTGAGCTCTGTGGACAAAGATTTTACCATAAGACGGATGTAAACAGACACATGATCGTTCACACAGGACAGAAACCTATTGCTTGTGAGCTCTGTGGACAGAGATTTAGCCAAAAGACAAATTTAAACAGACATATGAGAGTCCACACAGAACACAAGGAAAATATTTAACTACAAGTGCTCTCAATTTCTTATGTCTTGCAACCCTCGTTAACTGTCCTTTAATCTAGATCAGGACCTGTGTGTGTGGACATAGCTCAATGAACAAAAAACAAGATAAAAAAAAAAGTGCTCACAGAACCTCTGTGCCATCCTGGATTATTGCAAACAACGAGCTGAGCTCGCGAGCAGCAGCAGGAAGATTTATTTTGGTAAGCTATCTTAAGTATTTTCTGGAGTTAAATCATTATGTCCATGCAGCTGTAAATTTGGCAGCACATTATTTTTTTATCTGTATATTACTGAATTATATTGGGACAGTATGATGGAGCTAAGACCGGCTGAGAACATGTCAGCTTAGGGTTCCCGGTGGGAGCCCTACAAGCACAGAAATGAAATATTTAAAAGTAAAAAAAAACTACTGATTTGGTTTTGAAGGTGAACAGGATCATCCTCCGTGTCCAAATCAGGTTGCGCGTCTTCTGAGTCAAACGTTCCAAAACATGTCTGCACCTGCGGTATCCAGCTAGCGGGGTCGGAGTTCAGTCAAACTTCACCGGTAATCCAAAATCTGTTCTCGTCACCGTGTACCAGAGAAAACAGCAAATCTGATCGACCAGCAGAGGCTTCAGAAGCTACATCTGACTGACTGACTGACTGATTGACTGACACATTGTTCTCTGCTATAACACTAATTCAGAACCAGAACAGAGTACAGGGTTTCTTTCAATTGCTGATTCTGCAGACTTCCTTGTGAAACAACACCAGATGCCCAGGGCTTAGACCGGAAGCTAGTTTCTGTTTTTCCTGCGCCAGTCAAAAACATCAAATTTTCTTAAAATTCCAGCCGTGAAAGTCCAAAAACCATTTTCATCTGAGGTTTTAATACTTATTTAGAGATGCCATTCAAATGAATTTAGCCTCTGGCCGATATCTTTAACTTTGTTTCTTTTTAATTTCTAAATTGTATTTTCTCCCATGTTGATTTTAATGTTCTTGCTATTCTTACTAAGGCACATTGAATTGCCTCTGCGTATCAAATGTGCAATATAAATAAAGCTACCTTGCGTTGTCTAGTGTTTTGTATGACCACTGTGATTTTCAAGGACAGCACAAATGACTCATTGAATGAACAAGTTGGCAACATCTTTCTTTTTCCATTCTTCAAGAAGAACCTCTTTTCGAGCCTGGATGCTGGATAGAGAGTACATATATATATATATATATATATATATATATATATGTATATATGTATGTATGTATATATATATATATGTATGTATGTATGTATATATATATATGTATATATATATATATATATATATATATATATATATATATATATATATATATATATGTGCTGGATTTTATTTTATTTTTTTTACTCACAAATCATGAACTATGTTTTTGGTGCAAACTAATCTAGTCTAGGTTTCAAGAGCCTAGGTTTTGTGGTTTTATAATGAAAGATTATAGATGTAAAAGGAGTGAAAAAATTGGTAAGATTTGCCCTTTCCTAATCAGAAACCAGAAATGGGAACCAACTTCAGCTTTGTCAGAGAGACAAACAGATAAACACCAGCAAAAATATAACCTCCTTGGCAGATTTAATTTGGGATTTTCATCCTTCCATCCATTGTCTGACACTTGTCCAGTGCCGGGTTGCGAGGGCAGTAGCCTAAGCAGAGAGGCCCAGATTTCCCTTTCCCGAGACACTTAGGCCAGCTCCTCCAGGGGAATCCAAAGGTGGCGAGCCGAGAAACATCCCTTCAACGTGTGCTGGATGTTTATGTCTCCTCCCAGTTGGACATCCCCAGGCGTCCTAATCAAATGCAAAAGCCAACACGTGCCGAGAACGTAAGATTCGTACACATATAGGGGTATGTGCAAAAGGAAATCGATGGTTAGACAGCAGTATGATGGATGGATTAGGATCCAATCATTAAGAAACTAAAATTCACAGTGATTAGATTAGTCTTTCGCACGATTGTATGTTTCGGAGGTGACTGAAACCATTCATGTATCAACCAAATATGTAATTGCCATTGACATCTGTAGCGGAATATAGTGGGTATATTCTTACACTTTATTAAGGTCTAGAAATTAATCTTACCGTAGAATCAGAAGAGGTTGTTTTTACCACAGGGAGTTTTATTCAAACACTTTGTATTGACTTGGAGACAAGAAAAGAGAAATATGGGACGTTTAAGAATATCAATTTTTATAATTATTCGAAACAATCACCAGGACTAACTCTCTAATGATGGATGAAGATGAATGTGAGCTGAAGTGTTGGTGTGTGTGTGTCAGTTCAGAATCTCCATCTGGGCAGGCGAGTCTGAGTGTCAGATGTTGTTTTGACTAACTAACCACGAGGGACTTCAGGAGCACAGACATGAGATGCCATCTGTGCCGGATCTACGTACCGTTTCGGAGACTCCCGTGTTGGATCAGGAATGCCAGGTCCGCCGGACCTTCCTTTGGTGCTGGAACTGATGGATACAGCGTCTGCAGCACGACAAACCAGTCTACGGATCGAATCCCGGTAGCAACGGCAGATGTCACGTCAAGTAGAGAGTTCAGCTTTTATTTTGAAGGAACCGTTGTCTTGTTGATGAAACGACAGAATTTTCCAGCTTGACAGTTCTCAGCTTAAAGTAGAAAAGCTGGCCAGTCTGTACTTCACTTAGCGATGATGGTTTTGAGAGCTGGTCGAGTACTTGGTTGGAACCAAGTTGAACTACGTTGAAGAGCTTCGTTGGAACTCAGATGGAACTGAACTAAAATGGCGTGGTTCTGTTTTATTAAGATTAGATGTTTATGAATCTTAGCCAATCGAAGTGGACAGATTAAGTAAACACCTCAGAACTCTGCCCCGCAACAGAACAGAAGTTCTGATCGGACGCGTGAACAATGTCATGTGTTTGTCTTATGTGGGTCAGGGTGTCTAGTTCAGTTAGTCATGTGATTCATTAAAACACATAAATCATAACATTGTGATTTCACAGATCGGTCGCCTGATTATTATTGACCAACAGTTGTTTTGATTAGCTTTATTAGAAATAAAGTTCTTTGATTAACTAATGAAAAGCATTCTTCGTCCTTCTTCTTTGCTGGAATGTAAACATCAGAAGCAAGCGCACGACCTTGGCAATTTATGCACACTGTCACTGTGTCAAAGGGCAGCTGTTAAGGGCAGAAATAGCATATTCATAACGCTACAAATCTGAAGAGCATTTTAAGCAAAATGGTTAAAAAATGCTCCAGAATAACATTTACACCACTTTTAAAAGAAGCTAAATAAAAAATTCTGGATTGTTTATTATGTTTTGAACTTTCCATAATGGTCTCAGCTGATAAAACATGATTCAACCATGTGATTGACATGGGTCAGCTTTATCTAGCTGATCTGCATTCATTTGGACATGATGCACATATAATTTCTTTGGATTTAAGAGTATTTTCTTTATTCTTTGTCAGCAGGCGTGTTTAGAAGTATCAGAAGCTCAAATGTGTACAGTCCACACTTGACTTAAAACGAACTCATGAAATATATTTGCTCATGTTTACAATGTTTAGGTGGTGGTGCATTAAAAAGTTCAAAGGTCAAACATTTGCTGAGTGGAGAAAACTTTATTTGGGCAAAACATTCAGTCGGATGTAATTCAATCACTGCTGCCCCACAAGGTGCATCATCAGAGCATCACGCTTTGCTCTCCCGCCCACATCTCCTGTGTTTTGTGGCGGTGGGGGTGCAGCCACAGGTTCAGGGTATTCTGTTTCAGTCGTCCACACATTGTCATAATGCTCCCCGTGGCTCTCACACAGATTATGCAGGGCACAGCAGGTCAGAATCATGGAACGCACCAGACTGACACCACAGTCATTCCTTTTCAGCAGGCAACGCCACCTTCCCTTCAGCCTACCAAAGGCATTTTCAACCACCACACGTGCCCGGCTGAACTTCTTGTTGTAAAGAAGTTGCTGCTCTGTCAGTCGCCCAGTGTCTGTGAAGGGTTTCAGCAGCCAGTCTTGCAGCGGGTAAGCAGAGTGACCCAGGATGCAGTATCCAAAGTCAACGCCAGCAATTTGGATGGAATGGTCAGGGAAGAGATTTCCACGGCTTGCCAAATCCCAGATGGAGGAAAGTCTCAGGACCCTCGCGTCGTGCATGCTCCCTGGAAGCCCTGCAAAAATGTTCCAAAACAGTCCCTTTCCATCAACCACAGCTTGCAAGATGAGTGAGTGCCACCCTTTCCGGTTGAAGTAGACTGTGTGAAAGGTTCTGGGTGCTATCCATCAATAGCGCCCACACACTGTGGCAACCCCCACCTGCTCTCAAAATAGGACCGAAATTTCCCCTCATCGGGTAAATGAATCAGCTCTGGCCACAGCAATGCTTCTGCAGCAGCACAAAAGTCCTTCACACACTTGGCAACAGTTGAGATGCCAACACCAAACAGAACACTGATGGGTCTGTAATCTGAACCTGTAGCAAATTTCCACAAAGCAACAGCCACAATCTTCCTCAGAGGCACACACTCGCGGAAGAAAGTGTCTTTTCGCTGCAATGCTGGCCGCAGTTTGTTGCACAGGAACATGAACGTCTCCTCAGACATTCTGAAGTGCTTCAACCACTGCGCTTCCTGTAACGAGGCACGTAATCATCCCACCAGTCAGAGGATCGGTTGAGTGACCAGATCGCGCGTCTGCGGCTGGAGCCTTCCAAAATAGCCATCTAAAACAAATGAAACGTATTTTATTAACTTGAAGTGTATTAAACACGCACGTCAGCATTGGACTTTTAGCAATTACCAGGATGCGTCGTCTGCGTTGTCGTAATCGCAGCAATGTGTTGTACTGCTTCAGAATGGCTTCCTGCATGGCTCGGCGATGCTTTGCAGATTTAATCCTCCTCTCATCCCTCCTCAGCTTGCGAAGCCGACACCTTTCGGCCTGTCTAGCGCGGAGTCTGGCCCCCAAAACGAGCCACAAGCGCAGAACCATGAAAAATATCACCACGAAGTTCTCCATTGTTTACAATGACTGATACACAGGTGTCAACACAGGGCGGCTTAAATAGTCGCTGATATATGACATCACTGACATCTTAGCGCCAGTTTCTCCCGCCGATTTCTGGGGACCGCCCCCATGCGGATGTGACTTGAGTCACGTCCGCATTCTGGAGCAGGGACGTGAGGAAAGGGAGGAAGCACCCAGGTCGGCCCCAGCCCGGGTCGACCAGGTACAGATGGGAATGGCCCATAATAGAGCCCGTTGGGGAGATTTAGGATATTGTGTAAAATCCTTAGTCTGATTGTTGGGGGCCTGCAGAAATGCAGGCACATCATTGTTCTCCACATCTAATGTTGGGTCAACAGTAGCTCAAAAGGTGGAGCCAGTTGTCCAGTAATCAGAAGATTGCAGTTTCGATCCCACCAGAGAATGCTGCTGTTGTGTCCTTGGGCAAGACAGTCAACACGCCTTGTCTGCTGGTGGTGGTCAGTGGGACCGGTGGCACCAGTGTGCGGCAGGCCAGGTCTCGCCTCTGTCACAGAGCAGCTGTGACTTCATAGCTCACCTTCAGAGGCAGACTGAGACGTCCCAGATGTGAAACAGAACGCAACTGTAGATCTTTCATCCCCTCTGCTGTAAGAGTAGAACTCCTCAGTCTAAGCTGTACCGGCATTATCCTGTTACAAAATAACACCAATGCAATACTCAGCATGGGTTCGATACCGGAATTACATTGCATGTCTGTCTCTTGCAGTACGCTGCATTGTGTTTGAACCCAAGTTTTTATTCTCTTAGGTGTTGGTGCTGCTGTAACAAGTGGATTTCCCCACTGTGGGATCAATAAAGACCATTCTATTCTATTCTATTCTATTCATCATCACCAGCGTGTGTGTGTGTGTGTGAATGAGTGGATGACTGATTGTGTTGTGAAGTACCTTGGGGGGTTGTAGAGTCCTATGAAAGCTCTATACAAATACAGACTATTTGTCACAAGTTGGTGGAGGAAGTTTAGGACCCACGGTGCAGATACCAGATGAACAAGGCAGGAGGTGGAAGATGAAATAAAAATTGTTTAGGAGTAATCCAAGAAGGCAGGGAGCCACAAACCAAAAATCAAAAATCCAAATATCTAAACTGAGAAAATCCAAAACACTAGAGACCTAGAAACACTGGAAACACTAGAAGCTAGAGAGCAAACGAGACGAGACTTACACGAACAATGAACCGACACAACACTGGACACAGACAGGGTTTTATACACTGGGGAGGAATAGAGGGAGATGAGCTGCAGGTGTGTGGGGAGAGAAATCAGGTGAACTCAATTACTAATCAGGGAGAGGAAAACAACATGACCTAAGAGTAAAAAACAAAACCTGAAGACAAGAAGATTAAGATAAGCAACTAATGATCTGATGAGAACTAAAAAACCAGTGGAGAAAGAAACACACTAAAAAAGACTAAATGATGGACAGCTGAAACTAAAGGAAAACACTACAGAAAGAAAAACTACAGGGGCGTAACTAAGGGGGACCACGGGAGCATAGGACCTGGAGGGGGATACATGGGGGGAGGGAACCTAGAGGGGCTGCAGATCAGGAGACACATGAGGAACACAAGGAGACACATGAGGGAAACGTGGACAAGGACACAAGAGGGCGCTAGGAGACACAAGAGAACAAATGGGCCATTCCCATCTGTACCGGGTCGGCCCGGGCCGGGTAGCGTAGGTTGTTCACATATCTGGGTGGCCTGGTATTTTTCCGGGCCAACCAAGGCTCATTCTCAGCCCTCTTCTCGAGGGGGTCTGCTTCAGGCCGACCAGGGCCAACACACCCACTGCTGACAGCAAATTCACACCTTCCATTAGAGCAAGCCTCTGATTGGTGGGTAGAATCAGCCCACATGGACTTAAGACAAGGATGTGTGGAATCAACCGGGCCAGGCTGGGGCCGACTGGGGCTACCCGGCCCGGGCCGACCCGGTACAGATGGGAATGGCCCATTAGAGAGGGATGGAGAACACAAGGAGACACATGAGGGAGACGTGGACAAGGACACAAGAGGGCGCTAGGAGACACAAGAGAACTTAGAGAGGGATGGAGAACACAAGGAGACACATGAGGGGAGACGCAGACCATGACACTATTTACCATTCATCATTTTTCTCTGTATTATTAATACGTCAATCTTATATCTGGTTCAAGCTGAAGCCTGTACCTCACAAGTCATACCTTCTTTAGTACAGAAATATCTCCTACTCTTGTTAGTATCTTCATATTTTGTGTTTTCTCTAACGTCGAAAACCCCCATCTGGTCGAGTTTTCCTCCCCACTGTCGCTACATCCTTGCTTATTATGAGCAATTGGGTAAGTTATACATCTAATTTGATTAGGCTTTTTGGTTTTTCCGGCCCTTCAACTATCCAGAAACATTAGGGGAATCTTTAAAGAGCAAGTCAACCCCTGCCAGATTCTTACTCAACTCCCTCTTCATGTTTGAAAAATGCCACGAATGCTGTTGCCTTGCAGACCGAGAGGGCGGAGCCGCAAACCAATACACACACACACACAGGCTCACAACGACATTGTGACATCATAAGGACCAGTTTACATCATAGCATACCTCTTAGCCAATAGCAGTGGCAGATATAAATTCAAATGCAGTGCAGAGTTTTTACCTGACAACGGCACAACACTGGCAGTTTAGGCAGAATATTTAAATTTTAACTAAGAGGCACTGAAGTACCAAATTATTGACGACACGTGTCTGCGGCACGATTAGACACACATTTATGTAGTTTATCAGCAAAAAAAAAGTTGATTTGGGGGCGACTTGCTCTTTAAGTCACATTTTTGCTTATTTTTCAATTTTCATTTTAGACAACTTTCAATTAAAAACAGCAAAAGAACCTGTTGGTTCAATTAGAATGAAATTAATTCTTAGGAGAAGATACAGTGCTCATTCAGTGTTGAATGGGAATCAGGTTTGTATTTGGCCATTAATTGCTCCATATTTTAAGTAACAAACCATCACATGATTTATGTTATCAAACCATTGGACAGCCGTACAGTGATGTCGTTTATGATCATGAGGTAACACATACATGCTAAGTACAGCCCGGGATAGCTAGTGTTTATTACACACCTGCTGGTCTCAGAAGAGTCAACCAATTCTTTGTGAAGATATCTTCCCTGGGAGCAGCTACTGGGTGATGCAGGTTTTGTGGTTTCCTTTTATATCCTGATAAAAATATGACGGTAAAGCACACAGAAGGAAGACAAACTCATCTGATTATCTCCACTTTAGTTCGACCTGCAAGATTTTACCTCAGTGGGTTTTCTAACATCCCTTATGCCAAGTATTATTATGTCTTCTTAAGTTTTGTTTACATCATAACTGTTCTTGGAAATGTTTTTCTCCTTTCTGTTATCGATCCAACGGCTAAGTAGCTCTGGGTGATTTTTTACTGCCAGCCTCAAAAGTCTGGTAACCGGCGAGGCAGCACTCGCAGCCTACCACGCCAGCGCCGTGCATGGCTGTACCGTTAATGTCACAGTTGACGTCGCAGCCCAGGTTGATGTGTTCACACCTGTAGCCCGTCTTGAACTTGCCACCTTTCTTGCTGGCGGCATAGAATGGTTGTGACTAAGGTCATTACCCAGTATTTGGAGAGAAAGAGGACTCAAACGTAAGCTTCAGCCCTTTAGCCAACTTGTGGACAAAAGGAATGAAGTCAAAACTGAGAATGTGTCACATGCAGTGTAGACAGTCAGTTAAACACTTTTCCCACTTCAAACTCTGAAGACTGAACTCATGTTGTCCAGAGGTGATGAAAAAAGTAAAAAATAAAAAAATAAAAAAAAATAAATAAAAAAAAATACAGATACAATGCATTACGTCATATACTATAGACACTGATCTGGTGTTCATCACAGCGACGCAAAGCAAAATAGCCAACTACTAGCATACAAGAAATAACTGACACATTCAGTGTGGATTTCAATGTAAACCAACTGCAATCACTAATCTCAGACCTCAAAACAAAAATAAAATAGAAAAACAAGTAAATAATGTTAATCCATTTTAAAAATGCATACGATGCAACCAGAAAAAACTAAATGTAGAGTTTGCTGAAAACAACACAAGCAAAGGCTGTCTGTTGGGAGCTGTCCACTGCACTGTAGTATAAAAAGTCACCACTAGATGGCAGCAGTCTTCTGTGCGTTCACACTGTATTTTGTCCGTAATCCACTTTTTAGTTCTTTTCTGACACAGATTAGTAAAAATGATTTGTTTACCTGACATGTTTCAGCTAGTAGCTGAAATATAAGTCAGACCTTTGTAACAGCAAACATCTCCACAAATGATTTTTACTAAACTGTGTAAGAAAAGAAAAAATTAAATAAAATAAAGATGGCAGCAATTTTCCAACCACGCATAACATTAGACCACTAGCTATGACTTTTAACATTTTCTAATACATCACATAAGCTACTCTTTTTTTTAAACAAAACAAAACGGAACTAAACTAATAAGTAGAAATACATATGTTAAATTATAAAAAATTACATATAGCTAAATCTATATCTTACGAATTATTTTTAAATTTCTATTAGTACAAGGCATTGTTTACTTTTGTAAAGGGTATCGTGCACCACGGAACTTCAACCCTACAAAATAAGAGTCTCAAGAAATCACTCGTTCCTCATAAACAACTAAAGTTTTTAAACTAAGTTATCGTCTTAATCCTGTTGTCAGATAATACTGAGAGAACACGTTTAACAAAACAATGTACACGCCTAAGGTCTTTTCAGATGCGTGTTTTATGTTTCAGACTCTTATTGTGAAAAACTCTGCCTTCCGTTTCAGACGCTGCTGCGTGCTAGTGGTCTGCGTCTGATTTGCATAACTAAAAGGGGCGGGGCCTATATAAAGGCTTAGTGACGTCATACACAGGCATATTAAAGGGCTGCACAGGAGCGTCAGGTCAGTCTACCGGAGTGTCTCCTAGAGAACGCGTCTCAGTAGAGGAAAGGTTTTACATACGCCGATAGCTTATCTACACACACATATTAATCATTTTTAAGGCATTTAAACCACAGAAAAAGCATTAATGGATACCATAACTTTCCAGGAAGAAATTAACAGGCTGAACAACCTTTTGACCAAAGAAAAACAAGAGAAGGAACATTTTTTTGAAACTATCAAAAAAATGGGTCGAGCTTCACAAGTGCTCATTAAGGCTTTTGAGGACGAACAAAAGTCCCACAAGGAAACCAAGAAGAATTATGAGGAGACTGCTGAAAAACTGAAAGCGAAAGACTGTCTCATAGTTTCTCTTCAGGAGGGCATTGCGGCAGCAGAAGCGAAGGTTTTAGCCGCTGAACAACTGGCAAACCATTACGAACAGAGGTTTGCTGAAGCACAAAAGGCTCAGCAAGAAACACGAAGGTCGTACAGTGAAACTGTGAACACTTTGATTGAAAACAACGATTGTCTGAAGGTTTCATTGAAGGAACTGAGTGAATCAAATCAAACCAGTGATCTCAGTCCAAAGCAAGTGGAAGAGATTTTTCAGCGTGGATTAGAAAAAGCAAAAAGCTCTGAAGTAGAGCCGAGAGACTTAATCATTAGTAATCTGCAATCTCAGAACAAAGCGCTCTGCGTTCAGATTCAGCACAGCACATCTGACATTAGAAAGTGCCTCGACGAAACACGAACGGGTGTTGTGAGAGATCTGCAGGAGCTGAATGCTTTCTGTGTGGGCCTTGAAGAAAAATATCAACGTGGGATTGCAAGCTGCAAGCAGCAGGTCGAATTTCTAGAGCGGGAATTAGAAAAAGAGAAAGCATCTCACGCGGACACGTGGGAAACAAAGCAACATATTATTCTCACTATTCAGGCGGAGAAAGATGAGATGGAACGGCAGTATGGAGAAGAGAAACGTCAATTTGAAAAGAATCTCGAACAGAAAGACGTTTTATATCAAAACCTCGAAGCTGAGCTTTCACACGTCAAACAGCTGATGGAAAATTTAAACCAGGAGTTAGAAGAGGAAATACAACTGCGTAAAGAAAGAGAAGACATTATTTTTACGATTCAGGCAGAGAAAGAAGATCTCTGTTCCCAAATGCAGCAACAGACATCTGATCTAAACAGGTTGTACGACGAAACAGAGAGCCATTTTAAAAGGGAACTCGAGCAGAAAGACGTTTTATATCAGAGCCTCGAACTAAAGTATAAAAGTGAGCTTTCAGAGAGCCGTCAGCTGACAGAAAATGTTCAGCAGGAGTTAGAAAGAGAACGACAAAATCATTTAGACACACGCCAGGAAAAACTAGATATTATTCACACTGTTCAGGCAGAGAAAGACGCGCTCCGTCTTCAAATGATTAAGGATGCCGATGAGATGGAACGGCAGTTTGGAGAAGAAAAACGTCAATTTCAAAAGGATCTCGAGCAGAAAGACGTTTTATATCAAAACCTTGAAGATAAATATAGAGCAGAGCTTTCAGAGAGCCGTCAGCAAGTAGAACATTTACACCGGGAATTAGAGAAAGAAGTGAAAGCTCGTAAAGAAAACGAGGAAATGGTTTTTATTGTTCAGACTGAAAAAGTAGAGCTTTATAATGAGATGGCGGACAAAGCACGAGCTATGGAAAGACAGTTTGAAACAGAAAAGAGGAATTTTATGGAAGAGCTGGAGAAGAAAGACGTTTCATATCAGGACCTCGAGAAAAAGTATAAAACCGAGCTTTTTAATAGTAAACGGCAGATAGAAAGTTTACAACAGGAGATGGAAAAAGAACGAGAAGAAGCAGCACAAACTATTTTAACTATTCAGTCTAAAAAAGAAGCGCTTTGCCTCCTGATGGCACAGACTACAGATGCTTTCGAAAAGCAGTTTGTCATAGAAAAGAGCAAATTTCAGAAAGATTTGGACGAAAGAGATGCTTCTTACCGGGACCTTAGACAAAAGTATATGGAGCTGTTCTTTGTAAGAGCAAGCAGCTGCTAAATGTATATTGATACCACGTTGTGCAGTGCAGTGGCGTGTCCAGGTCTTTTAAAACGGGGTGGCCCAGGTGAGGCACAACTTTGTGCATGGGTGGCACCAATGGCTATGCTATTTTTGTTTTATCCCCAAGCCTTTTTTGGACAATGAAAAGCCTGTTTACAGGTAAATTAGTGTGTTGGCGCCTGGGGTGGCCACTCAGATTCCAAGGGTGGCATGTGCTATCCCAGGCCACCCCCTGGACACGCCCCTGCTGCAGTGGATGCACATACGTTCTCACTTAGGTTGAGTCCGATATGCTCCCACGGCTGAGTTTAAATGCTCATTTGTCATATTTAGTTGGTTTATTATAGTTTTTAGATACATTTTTAGTTCATTAGTTATAAGATCAATAATTAAACTGTTAGATTTTAGTTTGTTTTTAGATCATTACAAAATAAGAGCACTTCCATCAAGGGTAACTAAATCACGTCCCTTCCCTGACACACATCACCACCTAGTCGTCTGTAAAATTAAAAAAAGACCACACGAGGATTATGTCACAGAAAACACACCTCCTCATCATTTCTGTGTCTCCTTGTGCTGCGTGGGGGTTTTCTCTGGGAGCTCCAGTTCACCCCTGACCCAAAATCCTAACATCTTGTTACCCTGGTGGATCTGCTCATCTTTTCAGCAATCAACATTCAAACTGTATTTTGGCAAGAGATGCACTTATCTAGTTACTACTGGCTCTAATATTGATTAAGGGACCTGCCAGCATCTGACAGAGCCCTTATATTCATCACCAGAGCAGCATGCCCCCCCACAGCCAACCAACACTTTTCTAAGCAATCCGATTCAAACATCTTTCCTGGCGGCTCTGACATGTTTTCAGAGCTTTGATCGTCGTTACAATTCAAATATAAATTCATTTTTGAGTCAAATTTGGCCCGTTCTCCCACACAGCAGGCTTCCCAACACAGATCAGTAGGTTTGGTGGGTTTCAGCTGGGAGCTGATTCGTGACTCAGACTCAGCTGATAGAACTCTGATGCTTAAGAGGCCCACTCAGGTGTCTTCAGCTGTATGATGTCATCCTTTGATGATGTCAGAATTAATTAATTAATTAATTAAATCACATTTGAAAAAAATGTGACAATGAATGAAATGATAAAATGAGAAAGAAAAAAAATAAATATTTATATATAATCAAAATAAAAAAACTATTAAACAAACAAAACACATAAAACATATTTCAAAAACAAACACATTATAGAAACACTTTTTTTTTTAAATCTTTTATTTTCATTTATTGACATTAAAATAAAAATACAATCAGAACTAAATTGCTGCAAGCCAAAATGAAAAAGGGGACAGAAAGAAGAAAAACTTATGTTGTCTGCCCCTTTTAACTAAAATAGCATTAATACAAATGAAATAATCATATGATTCTTAAAGAAATTGAACAATATAGTTCCTGGACCTGTTGGCCGACAAAATCTCAACCCGTGAATTTGAGGGAAAAAAGAAAACAATTTACACAGAAAGAAGCATTAAGTTATAGATCTATATACATACATATATACACACACGACTACATACTAGGTTATTTTTTTCCTTTCATCCCCCCACCCCCCTCCCCTCACACATTTATGTAACAAATCTATATAAGTTAATCATTTTATTTTTATCTCTTTTTTGAAAGTCAATATTGTTTTTGCATTCTTGAGTTCAGTATTCAATTTATTCCACAATTTAACTCCATATATGGACACACAATGTTCCTTTACGAGTATCCGATGTCTAGGTATGTTAAATAATTCATGTCCCATTAAATCATATTTGCTATGTCTTTTTGAAAATCTTTTAATTAATCCTGCAGGTACGTTCCTTTTGTTTGCATTATACATACATTTTAAAATATTGTAGTCCACCAGATCATAGAATTTTAGTGTTTTTAATTTAATAAATAATGGATTGGACGGATCTATGTAGTTGCTCCTTGTGATTATTCTTATTGCTTTTTTCTGTAAGATGTAAATGGAATTTGTGTAAGTTTTATATGTTGTTCCCCAGATTTCAATGCAGTAGTTCAGGTATGGTATGATCAGTGAGTTATACAACAAATATAATGAATTATTATCAATTATTCTCATATTATCAACTATTTAACTATTGAACTCAAATAATTAGATTAAAAAAATTACTAATTGACACCCTTGAATATAACAATACTGTGTACTTTTCATTATCTTTTGAATTTACTTGAAGTAAAACGTTCAAAACAGAACTTATTAAAAAAATGTTGTTAGCTTTTTGCGATCTTTTATGATCCTTATTTTCCAGATCATTTCAGTTTGTTTGCTTGCCCCATAATTTAATGCAACTTTGACTATTTATACAGAAAAATAATTAAGGCCTCGATTGTAAAAGCAATAAATAATACATTCATGTATCATTAAATTACCATTTGACATAAATGTCATCAACAAATTTGCTCCATTTCATCTCTGCTTCCTGCGCTGGCTTATCTACATGTGTATGCATTTGCAACCTGCAAACTGGTGATCGCACATGCAATAGGAAAGAGTCACATAGACTTGCTTTATCCTTCTGTGGAAAAAACTGTTTCGCAGCTTTTGTTTTATGTGCAAGATTTCACAGAACAACAGATGAGTGGATTAAAGATTGGAAAAAAGCCAAACCCAAAAGTGTTTCCTTTAGCAAGTGAAAAGAGCTCAATAAACACAACCTGATGCAACCAACTGCTTACAAGTTAAAATCAAAATTACAACATTTCACTAAAATAAAAAATTAAACCACCTCCTGATCTGAAACTTCATCAAAATAATCTAATATTCAGAAATTCAAAAAATATTAAGTATAAAGTGGAATTTTATTTAAAAGAATTCTGAAAGTATTTGTGATTTGGGGGATTTTCCTTACCCCAAAATTCCACTATCTCCGCCCCCGCTTTCCGCTGCCGCTCGCTTCCGAACTCAAATTATACTATTAGTTGAGTTCCTTCCCCCCCAGTGACATAAAAGAAAATCTTAAGCTGCCTGCAATGTAGCACTTCGCCACTAGGCGTCACTGGTAACAATCAGACCACTAACTTGTTTACTTTATACTTTGAGCCAATTCGGAGGAATTACACTCTAGTTTAGGACATCGGTGTTTTATACACGTATGTGTGTGTGTGTGTGTGTGTGTATATATATATGTATGTATGTATATACATGCATATGCATATATACATGTAGATGGTGGGGGAGAATGCTGGTCAGACCAGGCAGGCCCAAACGCATTGCAAGGGTCTGCTGGGAACGTCTGGCAGAGTCTCCTGTCAGAAGGAGCTTCAATTCCCACCTCCGACAGAACTTCCAAAATGTTCCGGGGGAGGCGGGAGACATTGAGTCTGAATGGACCTGTCACGGGCCGTGGTGAGCTTCCTGCGCGTAACCTATCTTCTCTGAGCATTGTTTTCAGGTGGGCGCGTCTGAGAGTCTCCAGCTGCAGCCAATCCTGTCATTACGGCCCAGGGGATTTAAGGAGCAGTGTGACACTTCATTTCGCCGGATGACTACTCTGTTTTGGGTAGCTCTAGCTTCAACCTGTCTTGATCCTGTGATTTTTCTAGTCTCGATTCGCTTACCTGTGCTTATGAAGTTCTGCTTGATTTCCTGTCGCCAGAGAAAACCCTGATTATCCTTCCCTGCTCTGCTCCAGGTTTCTCTCCACACTCCACCATCTCCATAACCAACTCGGACTCCTGCAAATCACGCTGTCTCCTCCCCTGGCCGCTCGCTCTCAGCCGCTCACCTGCCTTCACCAAACCGTTGCTCCTACCTCCTCTCTGGACCAACAGTCCCATCACCTTCTGGAGCCTTCCTGCTCACCCAGACCTGACCAGTCCCTCCGGAAGATCTCACCACTAGCTGCAATATAGCTCCCAATATCATTCTCCATCATTCCCTCCATATACTCACTCTGTCTCCCTCCTCAGAATTCCATCCTGGAATCTTGCTGCCAGCCTGCCCGTTGTTTGTTCCCGTTCCTATCATTGTTCTTCAGTAAATAATAAAATTGTTTTACTTACTTGCCGGTTCCTGTGTGGTGATTCTGCATGTCGTGGGTCAAGACTGCCGCCCAACATGACAGGACCCTGTTCTGTGCCTCCATTGTTGAGGCGGCCAACCGGAGCTGTGTTCGCAGGATCTTCGGTGCCTGTCGTGGTGGCAACCCCCCAAACCCGCTGGTGGACACTGGCGGTTAGGGATGCTGTCAAGCTGAAGAAAGAGTCCTATCAGGTCCTTTTGGCCTGTGGGACTCCAGAGGCAGCTGACGGGTACCGGCAGTCCATGCGGAATGCGGCTCGGGTGGTCGCCAAGGCAAAAGCCCGGGCATGGGAGGAGTTTGGTGAGATCATGGAGCAAGACTTCAGTACGGCTTCGAGGAGATTCTGGTCCACCATCCAGCGCCTCGGGGGGGAGCAGTGCGTTACCAACACTATCTATAGTGGGGACGGTGTGCTGCTGACCTCTACTCAGGACGTTGTGGATCGGTGGGCAGAATACTTCGAAGACCTCCTCAATCCCACCGACATGTCTTCCAGTGAGGAAGCAGAGTCTGGGGACTTTGGGTTGGCCTCTCAAATCTCTGGTGCTGAGGTCACTGAGATGATTAAAAAGCTCCTATGTGGCAAGGCTCCAGGGGTGGATGAGATCCGCCCGGAGTTCCTTAAGACTCTGGATGTTGTGGGGCTGTGTTGGCTGATGCGGCTCTGCAGTATCGCTTGGACATCGGGGGCAATCCCACTGGACTGGCAGACCGGGGTGGTGGTCCCCTTATTTAAAAAGGGGGACCACAGGGTGTGTTCCAACTACAGGGGGGGGGATCGCGCTCCTGAGCCTTCCTGGTAAGGTCTATTCAGGGGTTCTGGAGAGGAGGGTCCGTCGGATTGTTGAACCTCAGATTCAGGAGGAGCAATGTGGTTTTCGTCCTGGCCGTGGAACACTGGACCAGCTCTATACCCTTAGGGCAGGGGTGTCAAACTCAAACTCACACGGGGCCGAAATGAAACTCTGGGACGAAGTCGAGGGCCAAACTTAATATTTTTTGAAAAAGTGACGGCAAATTTGCACATTTTCTTTATCAACTTATATGCAATTTTGAACCTTTAAATTTGGAAACAAACTTATTTCTGCATTAACACTGAATGTGGAATAACCAAATTACACACGAGCAAGTCAGTTTTAAATGTGGTATAATCAGCATTTTTAAAATCGATTCAGGATTTATGTTTTCTTGTTTATTCATTTTTCTTATTTTTTATTCTCCTTTTTTTCTCCTGTAATAAGTGTCATCGCTGCTGTGACGTCTAGCTTTCCCCACTGAGGAACAATAAAGTGATTTTCTATTCTATTCATCTATCTGCCGCCTTTCCACTTCCTGTTTACTGTAAGTTAAATCTTTTCTCACGGGCCAACAACAAAATAAAAATATCATTTTATCTTAAAAGAAAATACATCATCTCACCTGTTAACTTTCATGTTTTGGAGCAGAAAAAGAGCATAAAACCAACATATTTAAAGCTCAGTTTGCTCCACTGGTTTACTGTGATGCTCACCTGTTCCAGCCAGATACCTGCATCATGGGGTTGATCTGAGCTGAGGAGGAGACTCCTGTTGTTTTGTTCATCTTCATCATAATAATGACAACATTAGATGACAACAGGTGCTCACATAGGTTTGTGCTGCTGAACATGTCTGAGCAGCTTGACCACGTTGTTGTGTGTCGGGGAGGAAACACAACCACAGAGTCGTGCTGGTTTGAGCGTGTCGCTGTTCGCTGGAGTTATATCGGCTCTGTCTGGACGTTAGTTGGAAAACTTTCTCTTTCAGTCGTGAACACATTACTGAGCGGCTAGAATCTCCGTTTCTGGGCTTCAACGTCAGAAAATAGCTGAGTGAACTCGGCGCTGAGTGAGAGGAGTGTAGTTTGTCCGAGACAGCGGAGCTGCAGAGACCGGCAGCAGACGCTGGAAAAAAACACAAAGGAGGGGGCACGTCTGCTCCGCGCTGACCCCGCAAAGCATCATGGGAGTTGAAATCTTTGCGGTAAAATCGGCCAGCGGGCTAGTTTTAATATATTTTTGATATTTATCTCGCGGGCCACATAAAAATGCTCCGCGGGCCTTGACTCTGACATATGTGCCTTAGGGGGATCCTGGAGGGTGCGTGGGAATTTGCCCAACCAGTCTACATGTGTTTTGTGGATTTGGAGAAGGCGTTTGACCGCGTCCCTCGGGGGGCCCTGTGGGGGGTACTCCGGGAGTATGGGGTACCAGGCCCTCTGATACTGGTTGTTAGGTTCCTGTATGACCGGTGTCAGAGCTTGGTCCGCATTGCCGGCAGTAAGTCGGGCTCGTTCCCAGTGAGAGTTGGACTCCGCCAAGGCTGCCCTTTGTCACCGATTCAGTTCATAACCTTTATGGACAGGATTTCTTGGCACAGCCAAGGTGTGGAGTGCATCCGTTTTGGTGGCCTGAGGATCAGGTCTCTGCTTTTTGCAGATGATGTGGTCCTGTTGGCGTCATCAGAACGTGATCTTCAGCTTTCGCTGGAGCGGTTCGCAGCCGAGTGTGAAGAGCTGGGATGAGAATCAGCTCCTCTAAATCTGAGACCATGGTCTTGAGTCGGAAAAGGGTAGAATGCCTTCTCCGGGTCAGGGATGAGGTCCTGCCCCAAGTGGAGGAGTTTAAGTATCTCGGGGTCTTGTTCACGAGTGAGGGAAAACAGGAGCGTGAGATCAATAGGCGGATTGGTGCTGCATCTGCAGTGATGCGGGCGTTGTGCCGGTCTGTCGTGGTGAAAAGAGAGCTGACTCAGAAGGCGAAGCTCTCGATTTACCGATCAATCTACGTTCCTACCCTCACCTATGGTCATGAGCTTTGGGTAGTGGCCGAAAGAACGAGATTGCGGATACAAGCAGCCGAAATGATTGTTCTCCGAAGAGTGGCCGGGCTCTCCCTTAGAGATAGGGGGAGAAGCTTGGTCATTTGGGGGGGGGGGGGGGGGGGGGGGCTCGGAGTAGACCCGCTGCTCCTCCACATTGAGAGGCGCCAGTTGAGGTGGCTCGGGCATCTGGTCAGGCTCTCCATATATACATATATATATATATATATATATATATATATATATGTAAGCAAAGGAGATGATTTTAGACTTCAGAAGAAACAGGGTGGAGTCAAACACTGTTTCCATCATGGGAGAAGAAGTGGAGGTGGTTGAGGAATACAAATACCTTGGAGTTCACCTGGACGACAGACTGGACTGGAGAAAGAACAGTGAAGCTGTTTACAAGAAGGGGCACAGCAGACTGCACTTCTTGAGGACGCTTAGGTCCTTCAGTGTCTGTAGCAAGATGCTGCAGATCTTCTACAAGTCTGTTGTTGAGAGTGTAATCTCTTCAGCCATCGTCTGTTGGGGTAGCAGCATCAGAAGCAGGGACCTGAAAAGGCTCAACAGCCTAATAAAAAAGGCTGGTTCTGTTCTGGGGACGACTGTGGAACCGCTGGAGGAGATAATGCAAAGAAGGATTCTACGGTGGCCCTGAAGTGCAAACCACAAAAACAAATCACTTAACGCAACAACAAATTGAAACACGCAACAACAAATCACTTAATGCAAAAACAAATCACAAAACGCACAACAAATTGAAAAGCGCAACGACAAATTCACTAAACGCAAAACCAAATTGAAAACCACAAAAACAAAACCCAAACCGGAAAAGGTAGGTACCAATGCAACAACAGGCATCACTGATTGGATGATGGATCCGTTGGCCTTTTGAACCGAAAGTAGTTCTGCCGAACATGTTTTTTTTTTTTACTTTATTTAACAAACAATGAGTATACAACAGTGTCCGAATAATCGACATACATATATCCGAATACATATGTACATATGTCCGAATCCACAGGCAGGATGCTTACGAGTACGGGTCCTTGCCGGTCTAGCAAGGCCGGGTCCTTGCCAGACCTCTAACACCGGAACCTAGCGGCTCTGAATTCGGACAGTCAAGCCAGCGGTGGCCCGTAGGTCCCGTCACAGCTGTGGCGGCAGCTACACGCAAAGAAAAAATGCTAAAGCTAGCAAAAATCGAGCAGGAATATTAAGGAGCTACAGCAGCTTCACGTCCATCAGCAGCGTTTGTTCACAACCGTTTTCAGGTAAAGTAACTTTGTTTATTCTAGAAGCTTTCAGGACTTACATGTTAACTTTAGATGGTTTCATGTATGTTTTAAGCTACAGAATGAACTTGTTAAACATACACAACACATTACTGCAGAGTATTATCATGTAGGTAATTAATATAAACCAAATGCATTATAAATGTTGAATTCAGTAGGATGTTTTCTAATGTAAACTGGACCTTAGAACTTATTTTGTATCAAATGGGGGTAAAATGTTTTAAAAAACAGGCTTTTTAATAAAATAGCATTGAACTGTTTTCAATGTGCATTTGTTTATTCAACATAAGACTAATAATGATTAGATCTGTCATAAAAATGTGAATTCTCTATAGTTTTCCCTGCGGGGGTGGGGTGGGGGGTGGGGGTGCACAAGGTCAGAAGCAGGAGGCTTATGCAACCTCCTTACCACTCTCAAGTTTAAACCCCCAAATCCCTGGCGTTGTATGGCCCAGGGCAGTGATGTCGCAGAAACTTCACCATTATTTGAGGGGGTTTCTGATTGTTTGCTTGTGCTCTCCACCTCAGCTATCTCGCAGTAGCCAGAACTTAAGAGCCGTCCCCAGGATCCTCTGAGCCTTGCCAGGAACTCCAGGTGGATATGGGCTTATATAATATTTATATTCACATTTTGAAAACTACTATGTTTTCTCAATTTTACGGCTGATAAACGAAATATCTTTAACATAGATTTCGTCAAATTTTGTTTGTTCTATGCCCAACCATGAGTTATAAAGCAGTGATTCCCAACCTTTTTTAAAAGGATATACTTAAGTCTGTGAGTTAGGTAATAGTGGAAAAAATGGGGAAGTTCTAACCTACCAGACTTTTGCCTTTGGTAAGGATTTGAAACTTATACGTGGTGGTTTAGAATTTGTTGACACTTGAGTATAAAAGATTGAGCCATACTTGTGGTTTATTAGATACCATTGAAAATATATAATTTATTCTAAGGAAAAACATCTTTTAAAAGCAACAACACTTCTCATAAGTGATGTGAGGGAATTCGTCCATCTTGTACTGTTTAGAGCAGGTGGTAGTGGTTTTATTGTGCTAAATCTTGAAGCCTGGTAGAAATATTGATGCCTAGGTACTTAATGTTTCCAAACTGTATGGGGATATTTGGATTGATCTGAACGTTTGGCGTAATTGAAAGACTTCTGTGAGACATTTGCTGCGTTTACATGTGCAAAATGTCTTTATTCTGATCATTATTTGGATTAGATTATGACTGTGCACATGGGCCCTGGAAATTTTAATCCGATTATGTGAAGTGTTTACATTCATCATAAATTTGATCGGAATAAACCATTTTGTCATGCGCAGATCGATCCAATACACTGAAAAAGACCGTAGAAGAAGAAGTAGCGGACTTCCTCTGTAAACAAACATGGCTGCGGGCATGTAAAAATGGAGCACTACGATGTTTTTCGGAGCGTGATTTTATTTTTTGTCACAATTTTACAAAAACAAACCAAACTGTTTAAAGTTTTCCAGATGTTAAATAGGGGGAGACAGCTGGATGAAATTTTCTTAATACCAAGAACCGTAACTTTAGTCCCCCCTCCTCCTGCAAAGACAAGGAGCCACTGGATGAAGGTGAGGAGTAAAGACTGGTGGGAGAGAATTGTTCTTTTTGGAGTTCACCAATCAAGAGTGGAAGCAGAATTCCCACGTCATGAGCGTCATTCGTGAAACTTTGCTCGTTAATGGAGAGTTATAAGGCTCCAGAAGATGTTACTGACATGCGCAGTAATGCACAGTAGTCACTCGGGTGTTTTCATGCACCATGATCGGATTAACAATCGGCATAACCCAGCTGTCTCAATCGGAATGAAAAGTTGATCCGATTGAGTTTAAACGGAACAGAGTATTCTGAATGGCTTGTTTACATGACGCATTTTAATTCCGATCAGGCTTTTATTCCGATTAAATGTGTCCATGTAAACGCAGCTATTGTGAGATCGACAGCGAGCAGGCATTTGTAATTCGACACCAGCGGGCAAATAGATCCAGAGTTGTTTAAAGAACCAAAGCCTATGCAACGGAGTGGCCCAGAAGTTATTTCTGGTACCCCTAAGAAGCCAGAGCATCTTCTTGTTTTACTCTAATAGGAAGCAGGCTAGAGGCCAACATCGAGCCAACAATGCTAACTGTGAATTAGATGCAAATAGTCGGCTCTAAATATATCTCAAGCTACTTTTTCCAATTACCAACAACTCAATATTACTGTGTACAGTATGTGTGAAGTAAATAAGTCAATCGTTTTATTTACCTTACTGAGTTGTTCAGAACTAAAACACACTGACAAACTACCGTAATAAGTAAGTAAGTAAAAGTTTATTTATATAGCGCCTTTCACAGATATAAATCACAAAGCGCTCTACAACATGATAAAGATCAGGGCAAATACCTCTAACCAACAAAAACATCAGAAAAACAATAGCAGTGATAAACGTAGAAAATAAAATCATGAGTATAAACAAAGTGAAGGTGTGAACCCGAACAAAGCCATCTTTTTGAAACATTTAGGGAGGGAACGCCTGGATGAAAAGGTGAGTTTTTAGGTGATTTTTAAAGACCTCTACAGTGTTAGAGAGACGGAGATTTGAAGGTAGACTGTTCCAAAGTCTGGGTGCAATAGTCTGAAAGGCCCTGTCCCCTTTGGTTTTCAGTCTGGTTCCAGGAACAGCCAGGAGGTTTTCAGATGTGGATCTAAGGTTCCGAGAGGTGGTGTGTGGGGATAAAAGCTCAGATAGGTAGCTTGGAGCCTGGTTGTTAAGAGCTCTATAGGTCAGGACTAAAACTTTAAACTGTATTCTATATTCTACCGGGAGCCAGTGGAGGGACTGTAAAACTGGGGTGATGTGAGCTCGTCTGCTGGAGTTGGTTAGGAGTCTGGCTGCTGCATTTTGGAAGGCTTGAAGGCGTGAGAGGGAGGTTTTGCTGAGACCAGTAAAAAGAGCGTAATAAGTGCAGTATAAGTGCTTGTGGTGGTTAGGGGGTTGAGTTGTGGTTTACAGATCAACCATGGAAAATGCTTCTCATCTGTGTTGAGTTTTCATGTGACTCGTCAAGTGATTACTCCTAGAGAAACATCTACCACAAGTTTTACATGAATATGGTTTCTCACCTGTGTGAGTTCTAATGTGTTTAGTCAAGGTACTACTGTCAGTAAAACTTTTACCACAAGTTTCGCAGCTAAATGGTTTCTCACCTGAATGAATTCTCTTGTGTTTAGTCAAGTTACTACGGGCAGTAAAACTTTTACCACAAGACTCACATGAATATGGTTTCTCACTTTTGTGAGTTCTCATGTGACTAGTCAAATTATTATTCTGAGAGAAATATTTACCACAAGTTTCACATCTAAATGGTTTCTCACCTGAGTGAGTTCTCATGTGAATTGTTAATAAACACTTGTAAGTGAAAGATTTCCCACAGAATTTACACAAAAATGATTTCTCTTCCCTGCGAGCCCTCTTGTGCGTTTTCATTTTATTATCTACACCGTCTCTGTGATCTTTGGTTTGTTGACTTTTACTTTGTGTCTGGTCCTCATTGCTGTTTGATTCAGAGTTTTCACCCATGCATCCATCCTGATCTTGGTTCTCAACTTCAGTAGAACTCTGACACAAGGGTTGGTTCCTGTTTGGTTCTGGTTGACAGAATTCAGTTTCTTCAGAAGGAGAAATCATCATGAACCGCCCTTCATGCTGATGGATACAGAGTTCCTGCTGTTCCTCTTTGATCAGAGGAGACTCTGGTTCCTTCTGGTCCAAACTAGAGGTGACTGTCTGGTTAGAGAGCTGCTGGTCAGTCAGAACCTCCTCCTTTTCCCAGACATGGTGCTGTGGAACTTCTGGACAGGATAAAAGAGGAAAGAAAACATTAAATAATGTAACAATTGGAGTCCAAACTTTTAAATTGTGAATAATTGCAGAGTTTTATAGTAAACTCATGATTAATTGCTAATTCATTGCAAATTTTAAATGTATACCATGAAATCACACTTTTGATGCTTTCAATGCTTTTAAGCTACAGAAGCAGACAATTATACGCCGTTACACAAATGCAGAACCATGTTGTAATCATTTACAACAAAATGAGGCATAATTTGATTGGCTACTTCTGTTTATTAACACCGTCTCTCTAGCTGCTCAACATTAATGGACACTTGATCAGACTCACTCTGTTATTGTCACGATCTGCCCCTGCCCTCCTGACTGTCTCTCTCCTGCCCTGATTAGTCCGTATTGTTCTCACCTGTCCCTCGTTAACCTGCCCATGTTTTCCTAATTAGCCTTGTGTATTTATACCACCTGTTTTGCTCCTGTCCTATGCCGGATCATTGTATGTGCATGTCTCGTTTTGTCCTGTCGCTCCCGTTGTTATTAAACCCATTTTTACTTTATCCGTGCCTGCTCTTCTGCCTCCTGAACCCCCCACCACACTTGGTCCACCATCTCCACCCACACACCATGACAGAATGATCCGACCAAACCTGGACCCGTGGTGAGCCTGCCTTTCGGTTCCGGAGGATTTTTTTTTTCTCTCTCCCATTTCAGCTGAGGGAGATTCCGGCCTGGAGTTGTGTTTCTCGGCACACCCTACCTGTTCTCGGGGTGGTCGAGCCCTCTGAGGTGATCCTGGCGCATCCTACCAGTTTCCGGGGTGGTCAAGGTCTTTTCTCCTCTCCTGCCGTTTTGCCCCGTCCTGTTCTTCACGGAAGCTGCGGATCCTGGAGTTTTGATGGAGGTGAAACCCCCTGCGCACGCCAGCGTTCTTCTGAGTGGCAGGGCTGGTCTTCCTGCTCCTTCCCTGCTTCCCTTCACCCGAGCCTCCGCCGATGGACCCAGCTGATTGTGATGTGCACCTGCTCCGACCATATGTCGAGTATCTGCCGCCGAACTGGGCTTCCTCGCGTCGCTCCTGCTGTTTCGTCCCACTTCCTGGTCCACGCCTGCATGGTCTATGCCTGCAGACCCTTCACGCTGCAGTTCCTGCTGGGTCCTATGCCTGCTGCTGCAGTTCCTGCTGGGTCCCACGCCTGCTGCTGCAGTTTGTTGTCTGTTCCAGTCAAGTCTTTGAGTCTGTTCCAGTCGAGTCTTCGAGTCTGTTCCAGTCAAGTCTTCGAGTCTGTTCCAGTCAAGCCTTCGAGTCTGTTCCAGTCAAGCCTTCGAGTCTGTTCCAGTCAAGCCTTCGAGTCTGTTCCAGTCGAGTCTTCGAGTCTGTTCCAGTCGAGTCTTCGAGTCTGTTCCAGTCGAGTCTTCGAGTCTGTTCCAGTCGAGTCTTCGAGTCTGTTCCAGTCGAGTCTTCGAGTCTGTTCCAGTCGAGTCTTCGAGTCCCTGTCCCAGTCGAGTCTTCGAGTCCCTGTCCAGAGTCAAGTGTTCCCGTCCCAAGTGTTCCCAGTCTCCTGTGTTGTGTGGCCTTGTGGGCGTCTGGTATCCACCCCTTAAGGTGGGTGGGTGGGTGGGGGTGGGGTACTGTCACGATCTGCCCCTGCCCTCCTGACTGTCTCTCTCCTGCCCTGATTAGTCCGTATTGTTCTCACCTGTCCCTCGTTAACCTGCCCATGTTTTCCTAATTAGCCTTGTGTATTTATACCACCTGTTTTGCTCCTGTCCTATGTCGGATCATTGTATGTGCATGTCTCGTTTTGTCCTGTCGCTCCCGTTGTTATTAAACCCATTTTTACTTTATCCGTGCCTGCTCTTCTGCCTCCTGAATCCCCCACCACACTTGGTCCACCATCTCCACCCACACACCATGACAGTTATGTACAAACACGTCGGGTACCCCCTCCTTGCACAGGGTTATGATACATTCATTGTACCATAGCTACCAAAACATTGGTTTATGACAACATGAAAACATGGAGGAGAAGCCTGCTCTGTCTTTTAAAATTGCAAATAAAAAGTTCAACAATGATTTTACAGCTGACATATTAATACATTTTTTCCCCACTGGACGTATGTTTTAACATTTTTTACTGCTTCTCTGAATAATTGCAGTGACTTTACTATCCAGTTTGGATAACCAAGCATTTTAAATTATACTATTTAACAACAGAAAAATGACATTTTAAATATAAAAGAAACATGTGAGGATTACATAAAGAGAAAATTGTTTCTTTTTTAAATTTTTCAAGAAAACAAAACAAAAGCACACAGATTGTCTGGCTTCCGGTTCCCTTCACCTAATACAGATATGGACAAAATTGTTGGTACCCTTTGGTCAATGAAAGTAAAACCTACAATAGTCACAGAAATAACTTGAATCGGACTAAAATAATAATAAATAAAATTTCATCAAAATTTTACCAATGAAAGTCAGACATTGCTTTTCATTTTCAACCAGGCTTCAAAAGAAATATAAAAAAAACAAAACTCATGGTACAGGTCCTGACAAAAATGATGGTACCCCTAGAAAAGACGAAATAATGTGACTAAAGGGGTATGTTAATATAAGGTGTGTCCACTAATTAGCACCACAGGAGTCTACTATCTTGTAATCCAGGGGTGTCAAACTCATTTTAGCTCAGGGGCCACATTGAGGGAAATCTAGTCCCAAGTGGGCCGAACCGGTAAATAAAAAAAAACTTCAGATTGTTTTCTTTGTTTTAATACAATCAATATAAAACAAGGCTGGAGCCTGAGGACAGTGTAGTACAAGTACAACACCTGAAGTGTACTTGAAATTTGAAATTTTTTTTAAAAATCAACAATTAAAAAAACATTCCTTAATGATTCAAAGAGCTTACAGATCACATGGACCAGTTTCATGCAGCATGTAAAGTATATTTGACTAATTTTACCTAACATATTTTAGCTTTCACCAGCACATCAATAGCAGAATTCACATCCTGAGTGGCGGCCAACTTCAGGATGTGATTCAAGTTCTTGTGTGAGCCTTGAGCGCAGCTTTGTTTTATTTATACTCATTACAGAGAAAACTTGCTCACAATGATAAGTTTATTTTAACTCTACATTGTAAAGTATGAAAATAAAGTTTACACAACCATCTCGCGGGCCGGATTTAAACCGCTTGCGGGCCGTATCCGGCCCGTGGGCCGCATATTTGACACCCCTGTTGTAATCAGTCAGTGGGCCTAGTGGGGCAAGAAGTATTTAGTAACACTGATATATTTTAAACGTTTCTTTTATTTTTGATTATTATAACTAACAACTAATGAAAATTCCAATTTAAGTATCTCAGAAAAGTAGAATGTCAATTAAGACCGATGTCTAAAGAAGACCCGCCATTTATTCTGATTGCTGTTTGAACGTGGGACCAGTTCAGTGCTTGAGAAAACTTGAGCCACATCTGCCAAACTGACAGATGTGGGAGTGTCTCACGCAGGAAATTATTGAACCAAGAAGGACAATGTCCTCATGGGCTTCAGATTTGTAACTGCTTAACAGTGGGTATTGTAGCGACCTCTGACCTTTACATGTTATACATACATTTACTTAGATAAAAATCTATTAAAATTTTTGAATAAAGAAAAATCTGCGATTAGGGCTGCACAATATATCGAAAAATTATCGTCATCGCGATAACAGGACGTGCGATAGGCCCATCGCAAAGCACGTCAAAAATGGCGATAAATGTTTGGTTCAAACATTTCCATCCGTGTCATACATCAGCTTTTTGTAAACCAGCTCTGTTTTTTACGCTGAAGTATTATTTGACCAATCAAATGTAGCCCTTCTGATATGCGGCCAATCAGATGGGTCCGTTCACGTAATACGTCCGCCACCTACGTAGACCATTACCCCAAAATTCCACTATCTCCGCTCTGCTCCGCCCCCGCTTTCCGCAGCCGCTCGCTTCCCTTGTTCGTCATGCTGGCTCAGATTAACGAACGCACTTTGTGCTGAGGTTTCTGGAATCAGCGCTGCTTTCAAACGTGAACGTGAGTCCGCTCGGTGTAGTTAAGCAGCTGATAATAACCGGGCTGACTCCGACACGTGCCGGTGAACCAACCCACCGTTAGCCCCAGGCTCCGGCTAGCTTCCAGCTAAAAGGCTACAGCACTCTCTTCCCAGTCCCACCCTGCTAAAGAGGGCCTGGAAAAGTTCCCCCACACATCAAAGTGATTTTTTCTTTATGAGCTTTTATAACCTTGTTAATCAGGATAGTTGATTTGCTGCTGCACATAAACTGTCAGTCAGAAACTCTGCTAGCCGGTTATCTTAGAGGAGCTAGTTCAATTTGTTAGCTTGTTATCAGAATCATAGTTGCAGTTTCATCATCTGAGCTGCTTTTTAAGATCTAGGTAAACTTTTTCAATTTGGGGTTAAAAACAAACGTTTTCACATATTTTCCATGTAGTTTTTTTGCCAGTTCCCCTTCTGAAAGGTAGACAATTGTTTTTCTCTTTCCCTCAGAAAATCTTAATTTTCTCCTAGTTTCTCCAGTTCACTTCCCAATAGAAGCAACAGCCTTATATCATAACCACATAAGTGGAGAAAATGCTCAGTAGCAATGAGAGAATTTGCTGTTGCATTTAAGTGATGTTAATTATTATTTAACATTTAAACTTATTTTCTGATATTTTTTATTTATTCAAAACCCTGGTAAAGGATGTTTTTCTGTACTTGGAGCATCAGAAAAAGTTTAATGGTGGAGGTGATGTTTTAAAGTCACTGAGAAACTGCATGCATGCAGTTTGTTGTTTTGCTGCTAATACAGTAGCAGGTGCAGCTGCATATTTTTGCAATAAAAATGTTATGTTGTAATGGAATTCATGCATTAGTTTTTGTTTGCTTTGAACCCAGAGCAGACGTCACACGCCAGACGACATCAACACTGCATACTTTAGTATTTGTTCATTTATCGTGAGTAATATCGATATCGCAATATTAAGCACTGTTATGGAATATCGTAGGTTTTCCTAATATCGTGCAGCCCTATCTGCGATTTTCTGAACATTTCAGAAAATGAGGATTAGACAGTCCCTATGCTTATAAAATAAACCAGAATTTAGCAGGAAAATTTTAGAGATCATTATATAATTTAGGGCTGGGCAATATGACCTCAAATTTATATTGCCATATAGTCTGAAGCATATGCGGTAACGATATATGTTGCGATATATTTTTTCCTCTGTTTATAAATGTCAAAATGACATGCTTTTAAATATCCTCATGTGGCAAATATATGCCACTTGAGGCATATAGGCCTCCTCCGCTCACTCCATGCATGCAGTCACTGCCATTCTGTTGTTCCGATGTCAGCAGGGTGCACATCTTACGCTGTTTTTACAGGACCATAGCGTTTTTAAAACGGGATATGCCGCAGGACCCTGGGGAGGATTTTGGCATTTATAGTAGCAAAGCTGAAGCTAGAATATACTGCCATCAGACACCTCTCCAACCAAGACGGGATATAGGGAGGTGCCCTGCTTTTTGTCCCGCTCAGCCAGTGTTTTCACCACTCTGTCGAACAGCTGGCTGTCTCTCACCGTCCCCGTAAAAAGGCGACTAATCTGTTCGTCCGCTCGCATGGCCAAAAGCTCCATGGTCTCCGCATCCATCCAGCCGGCTTTCCTTTAGGCCGGCACCCGGCGCGCAGTACACGTGACTAACGGAACCACCCTCTTTTGCGGGGGGCTTCCCACAGTCGCTCCAAAGGGATTAGCGGGGCTGACACACGTTTAGCTGTCAGAGGCGAGGGGCTGATGCGACAATATTACTAGCAAGCGAGATGGAACGAATGCCGGAATATTCGTGCAACGCCATGCCGGCATGGCGCTTTTATAGACATACCATTACGGTAATATTACACCAATATGCCAGCATGGTGTGTCCTATAAAAGCACCTTTAGTGACGTCATGTGTTATCGCGATATCGCGGTATTGCGATATAGCCAAAAACTCATCATTACCAAATTTTATATCGTTTCTACCTTTTAGCGTTTATATTGCCCACCCCTAATATAATTATTATAAAATATTACGAAACACTAGGAACATCAGAATACATATGAAAATATTTCTAAATGTTGTAACAGTTCATAAGGGGTTATTGCGAGTGATATAGCTTAATATTACTGTTCCTTTAAGAGGCGCGGTGGCTAAAGAAGGGCTTATCTCAGCTGTTTGTTAAACTAAACTATTAAACCGCTATTGAGGACAAAATGTCATTCTGTCTGGCATTTTAGTTCTGGACAAATATCAATAAATCTAAAAAGAAATTACCTTAACTTTTGGTGCGCCGCACACTGCGTGGGTTTATTAAAATGCTCTGAAGAAGAAGGCCCAGGTGTTCAACTAGGAGCAGGGTTCGAATTACGGGGGAGCTGGAATCCCTCAACCTACACACCCAGGGTGACCCTGAAGAAAGTTCCAGTTTATATTACATTATTTATAAGGACTTTCAACATGTGGAGACTTCTTTTGAGCATGGAGAACGAAGAGTGACAGAAGAGACCATCTCTAATGGATTATTGAACAAATGTCTGTCACTGAATCAAAGCAAATTTTTGACAGTCAATTTGTGTTTTTCAGGAGGTTTATTTTATTTTGGCAAGATCAGAGAAGACGCACATTGGTCATATGATCCAACGATTGAATGTTTTCCGTCGGACAATATTAAAACACATCGGTAATGTTCGACGTGTTTTCGCAAACACTGCTACTGTCTTTCGAGTATAATGAGAAAGTAGGAAACCGTCTCTCATGTGATCGTTTTAGATCAATGCCGTGCTCGCATTTAATAACTAGGAGGCCAACATAGCGGTGTATTTGGAGTCGGAAAATGGCAGCAAATATGACCGTATTAACTTGTAAATTGGAGAACAAAAAAAAAAAACCATTTAATGTAAACGTGTCTAATGTAATTTGTCAGGGCACAAGTTTCTGTCGAAATCTATTTAAACAAAAAATGTTCTGACCAGTTACCGTTTCCAAGTCTGTGTGCATTTTAAAGTTCCCACGCTTCACCGTTTAAATTATTATCCCCGTTTGGCCTGATCCCGTCAACTCTTGCTGCTGGCTAAAAACCAGAATCTGAGGCCTAGTCCACACGTAGCCGGGGTTTTTTGAAAACGAATATCCGCCCCTCCAAAAACTTGCATCCACACCACCGCGTTTTAAAAACAAACTCTGACCACACGTACCCGGATAAATACGTTGTTAAGGACATGCCAGACCTGTAGGCGGCAGTACTTCCCCCGTTCTTAACCTTGTCCTTCGTCTGTGGTCTTCCGCAAGGAGCAGTAATTCCGCTTGCAAAAACAAACAAGCAGAAAGCGCTTGGACAATTGATAAAGCGAGCGCAGCTCTGAGGGCATCCATGCTGTCGGCTAGTGTAAACACAGGTTGCACACGTGATGTCAGCATTTTTTTGTCGCGGAAAGTGACGTTGCGGACCTTAAAACTCCGGTTTTGTCCGTCCACACGCAGACACCCAAAACGGAGAAAACGCAGATCTTCACTTTGGCCGGAGTTTTTAAAAAGATCCGTTTTCGTGTGAAAAAAACTCCGTTTTCGTGTGGATGACAGGCCAAAACGTAGAAAAATATCTACGTTTTGGCAGATCCCCGGCTACGTGTGGACAGGGCCTAAATCAGTATTTAACATAAATGTACGTTCAGACTCAGAATCTGGAGCTCTGTGTTGCTGCTGCAAATTCCTTTTTTTTCTGAGCAGTCAGGAATGTTTTCCACTTCCGGTATCCAGCAAGAGGCGCTGTTTTTAGACTGTTACTTGCGTTGATTTGAAGGGTTGTTTGTACGCGTCTCCTGAAATTAACGTGACGCGTCTGAACGCTGCAATATACAAGTAACCAGTAGGTAGAATCAGCAAAAAAAAAAAAAAAAAAAAAAAAGCGACACACTCGCCATGGTGATTCGGTCTCTGGTTTAGAGGTCTTTCATACCATCTTCGATACCGCTACTGTCTTTTTTGTGTCGTGAACTCAAAATTAACCAGTTACTGATCTCTTCTATTGACACCGTGCGTGTTTTGGTTGTACCCACAAACCTGGCTCTCTGTCTGGTCTGAGTAGTCTAGTGCGCCCCCTCATGGACTATATGCAGTACAGTGCTGTGCAGCAGCAAGTCTCTGAATAAAGACGCAGTCTGCACCAATGTGAGGTCAAAGACTCTTCCAGCGTGGAAGCACCAGGGTGTGTGGATGAATGATGCACTCTAGTGCAGGGGTGTCAAATATGCGGCCCGCGAGATGGTTGTGTAAACTTTATTTTCATACTTTACAATGTAGAGTGAAAATAAACTTATCTTTGTGAGCAAGTTTTCTCTGTAATGAGTATAACTAAAACAAAGCTGCGCTCAAGGCTCACACAAGAACTTGAATCACATCCTGAAGTTGGCCGCCACTCAGGATGTGACTGGTGAAAGCTAAAAGATGTAAAGTAAAATGAGTCAAATATACTTTAAGTGCTGCATGAAACTGATCTAGCCATGTGATCTGTAAGCTATTTGAATCACTAAGGAATGCTTTTTTTATTGATTGATTTTTTAATTTTTTTCACATTTTCAAGTACACTTCAGGTGTTGTACTTGTACTATTTTGGATACACTGTCCTCAGGCTCCAGCCTTGTTTTATATTGATTGTATTAAAACAAAGAAAACAATGTGAAGTTGTGTTAAATTTACCGGTCCGGCCCACTTGGGACTAGATTTCTCGCAATGTGGCCCCCTGAGCTAAAATGAGTTTGACACCCCTGCTCTAGTGTAAAGCGCTTCAGAATAACCCAATCAGAATGGCAAGCGCGGGTCATTAATCATTTATTTTAAAAGTAGGATGAGAAAGATGATTGTCCAGCAGACAGCTCAGCTGTTTAGCTGGAAGACGGAAAGAGGAGACACGCAGCCAGAGTCTGAGACCAAAGCAAGGGTTTTGAAAACAATGTAGGCTCTCAGTTTATTTCCGTAGATCGCATAAGATGCATGTGAATTATAGGGACCCTAGCCACACCCATCTACCTTTGTGTCAAAAAACACAAATGGGTGTCTATGGACTGATAAAAGTTATTTTCTAAGCCTGTTTAATATGTGATGCATATGTTTCACAAATGATGTCCGTGAAATGTAAAAACCCCTTTGGACGCCAAGAAATGGCTTATTTTTGACAGGCAGCAAGTTGTTTTAGGTTTTGTGTGAAAAGATGTTTATGTTTATGTATTTAGCAGACGCTTTTGTCCAAAGTGACTTACAAGTGATAATCGGCATGTTACCCTTGAGGCTAACAACAACAACAACTTGACATCAATCATGGAGAGGAGGGAACAAGGAGTGGACAGTAGAGAGGGTGGACGGGTGCAGGGAGGGTGCTAGTTTAGAAGATGCTCTCTGAAGATGTCATCAAGACAAGGAGAAGGAGAAAAATGGCTGGGAGTTTGGCGAGCTTCACATTCTTCTTCCAGAATGAAAGTAGCATTGAACGTGAAGAACACCACGATGAATCTGGTTATGTGGTAAGTAGCTTCGATGGGGAGGAGAGATTCTGCTGTGATGTCATATGTGCAATTTCTGAATTGTAGTCATTTTAATTACAAATTTTTACAAGATAATAAATTTGAAATCACACAACACAGTCAAAACTCACATAATTATCTATTATTTAAATTGAAGAACAACAAATGTGTGATTCGGGGCAGAAGGCAAAGCCAACCAGAAAATAACTTTTATAGCCCCGTTTACTTACATTTGACCCATGAGCAGACTGTTAGGGGAGGACACTCAGTCTCCCTACATGCCTAAAATGAGCCGTTTCAAAAAGCCTCTTATTGTGACATCACATTAGGAATATTAAGCATATACACCCCCCCCCCCCCCCCCTTTCACCTGTTGACCCTGGAGGAGCAGCAGCTCTGATGTCAGCATCAGGAAATGGCGACAAAAGGAGCTGGTGTCTGTCTGGTTCTGGTCCACGGTGGTCTCTGTCCTCATCAGCAGGAGTCACAAGGTAGGTAGCCGTCTCCTGCTTCAGTACAAACTGCTCTTCATCCTGACTGACGCAGAGTTCTTCTTGTTCTAGAATAGGTAAAGGTTCTGGTTGTTCCTGCTCCAAACTGGAAGTCCTCTCCTGGTTCCAGAGCTGCTGGTCAGTCTGAACCTCCTCATTCCTGACGTCATGCAGCGGGCGTTCTGGACAGACAAACAGACCAAACAAAAAGCTGAATCACGTGACAATAAGAAAGCACACTTCACTTTAATCACCTGAAGATGTTTTAGAACAGAATGAACTCTCAAACTGACAAATAACCACACACAGTTCTACAATCAGAGATGAGAACAGCAGGTGTGTGTGTGTGTGTGTGTGTGTGTGTGTGTGTGTGTGTGTCTGACTGACCCTCAGCACAACTAGACTCAGTATCTATCAGATTTATTGATTTACTGAGGATGCTCTCATGGAATCATCTCCACTTTGAAGCTGCTGACAGCTTTAATTGGTAATATCCACAAACAGATCAGACTAACAGAAACTGTTCTAAACAAGTCTCTGATTGTAGAACATCAGCTGAAAGCATTCAATACTAGACAACAGGAAGTTTTTGTAGTTCCTAGAACCTTTTCAGGAACCAGTCCCCTTTTTTGCACACGTTCGAACAGATAGGAAGTAGGAAGCTTTTCCCGTAGTTCCTAGAACCATTTTAGCTCCTACTCTGAGGCTGGGACTTTCTCTGGTTCCTATGAAACTAACCTGACGTCGGCGCTTGGTGAGCTACGCCCCATGCTTGATTTCCGCATCTTTTCTGTTCCAAATCTTGTTTATTTAGAAACATACTGGACTGCATCGTGGACACTCCTGCTGCCGCTAGCGCACCTCACCAAAACCGAACAGGTAAAGAAAGCCGTCTTAATGCATTTACTAATGTTGTGTTTCTTCTCTTGATATAACGGAAGGAAATTGTCCATTTTGAGATGAAATCTTGGAGCGAAAGCCGCCAAGAGCGAGCATGTGTATTCATTTTTGCACTGAAATACTTGAGCTTGTAGCAGGCATGTTTTTAATTAATGACTTTAAGAGTCAGAAGTATTCTTTGTCTCTGAGTGATGTCAGCTAGATGTAATTTGGTCACACTAAATAAGAACTGTTTGCTCACATTAAGCCTTTCTTATCCTATCCTATCTTATTCTTATGCAGGGGACTGTTCTGTTCTGGTCCAGCAGGACCTGACTGCAGCCTTTGACACTGTTGACCATCACCTGCTACTGGAGAGGCTGAGAGACCGGGTAGGCCTATCAGGATCTGCTCTGGAGTGGTTCTCCTCTTATCTCTCTGAGCGCTTATTTTCTGTGGCCGTCTCCAAGTTTAGGTCCTCCACCACCTCTCTTACCCATGGTGTCCCACAAGGTTCTGTGCTGGGGCCTCTGCTCTTCCTCCTCTATCTGCTTCCTCTTCAGCACATCCTGAGCTCCTTCAAAGGAATCTCCTACCATCTTTATGCAGATGACATCCAACTGTACATCTCCTTTAAGCCCCATGAGATGTCTAAGCTGCAGCTGTTACACACCTGCTTAGACTCTATCAAAACCTGGATGGCTGGGAGCTTTCTACAGCTGAATGAAGATAAGACTGAGATCCTCATCTGTGTCCCAGACAAGCTGGTTCCCAAAGTCAGAGACTCTCTTGGTCAGCTTGCTTCTAACACCTAAGCTTCTGTCAGGAATCTTGGCGTGACCTTTGACCCAGCTCTCACCCTGGATTCTCATGTCAGTTCTCTTGTTCGCTCTTCCTTCTTCCATCTCAGGAACATTGCTAAGCTGAGTCCCATTCTGTCCCGCTCTGAACTTGAGACTGTTCTCCACACCTTCATCTCCTCACGCTTGGACTACTGTAACTCTCTTTTCACGTGTCTGAGCAGAACCTCCCTGAACCGTCTACAGGTGGTTCAGAATGCCTGTGCTCGGCTTCTGACCAAGTCCTCCAAACACACCCACATCACCCCGCTTCTCCTCCAGCTTCACTGGCTGCCAGTCAACTTCAGGGTTCATTTCAACATCCTGGTTCTGGTCTATAGGGCCTTACATGGACAAGCACCATCTTACATTGGTGATCTTCTCAGTCCCTACACCCCCAGCAGGTCCCTGAGGTCCAGTGATCAAAGCCTACTGGTTGTGCAACACCAGGCTAAAGACCAAAGGTGACAGATCATTTGCTGCTGTAGCCCCCAGACTCTGGAACTCTCTCCCCCTGAGCCTGAGATCAGTGGACTCAGTGGTCTCCTTTAAAAAGCAGCTGAAGACTCAATTGTTCAAGCTGGCTTTTGTATGACCTTCATCACCACTCTCTCTTTATTCTGCTCTCCCCACCTATTCCACCTTCCTCAGGATCCACTGATTTCCCTATTTCCTTTTCACTCTCTCTCTTTCTTAACATTTTATTAATCACAATTGTCTATTTTTGCTCATTTTAAATATATTTTTAAACATTTTCTAAATGCTTTTTTATATTTTTACATTTTTTGTTTTTGTGAAGCGACACTTACTCGGGTGTGTGACCTACTCCACTTACTCGGGTGTGTAATCTACTCCACTTACTCTGGTGTGTAATCTACTCCACTTACTCGGGTGTGTAATCTACTCCACTTACTCTGGTGTGTAATCTACTCCAGTTACTCGGGTGTGCGATCTGATCCACTTACTCGGGTGTGCGATCTACTCCACTTACTCTGGTGTGTAATCTACTCCAATTACTCGGGTGTGCGATCTGATCCACTTACTCGGGTGTGCGATCTACTCCAGTTACTCGGGTGTGTAATCTACTCCACTTACTCTGGTGTGTAATCTACTCCAGTTACTCGGGTGTGCGATCTGATCCACTTACTCGGGTGTGCGATCTACTCCACTTACTCTGGTGTGTAATCTACTCCAATTACTCGGGTGTGCGATCTGATCCACTTACTCGGGTGTGCGATCTACTCCAGTTACTCGGGTGTGTGATCTATTCCACTTACTCGGGTGTGTGATCTACTCCACTTACTCTGGTGGGTAATCTACTCCACTTCCTCGGGTGTGTAATCTACTCCACTTCCTCAAGTGTGTAATCTACTCCACTTACTCGGGTGTGCGATCTACTCCAGTTACTCGGGTGTGTAATCTACTCCATTTACTCGGGTGTGTGATCTACTCCACTTACTTGGTGTGTGATCTACTCCAGTTACTTGGGTGTGCGATCTACTCCACTTACTCGGTGTGTGATCTACTCCACTTACTCGGGTGTGTAATCTACTCCACTTACTCGGGTGTGTGATCTACTCCACTTACTCGGGTGTGTGATCTACTCCAGTTACTCGGGTGTGTGATCTACTCCATTTACTCGGGTGTGTGATCTACTCCAATTACTCGGGTGTGCGATCTACTCCAATTACTCGGGTGTGCGATCTACTCCACTTACTCGGGTGTGCGATCTACTCCACTTACTCAGTGTGCGATCTACTCCAGTTACTTGGGTGTGCGATCTACTCCACTTACTCGGGTGTGCGATCTACTCCAATTACTCGGGTGTGCGATCTACTCCACTTACTCGGTGTGTGATCTACTCCAGTTACTCGGGTGTGCGATCTACTCCACTTACTCGGGTGTGTGATCTACTCCAATTACTCGGGTGTGTGATCTACTCCACTTACTCGGTGTGTGATCTACTCCAGTTACTCGGGTGTGTAATCTACTCCACGTACTCGGGTGTGTGATCTACTCCAGTTACTCGGTGTGTGATCTACTCCACTTACTCGGGTGTGCGATCTACTCCAATTACTCGGGTGTGTGATCTACTCCACTTACTCAGTGAGTGATCTACTCCATTTACTCGGGTGTGCGATCTACTCCAATTACTCGGTGTGTGATCTACTCCATTTACTTGGGTGTGCGATCTACTCCAGTTACTCGGGTGTGTGATCTACTCCATGTACTCGGGTGTGTGATCTACTCCACTTACTCGGGTGTGCGATCTACTCCAATTACTCGGGTGTGTGATCTACTCCACTTACTCAGTGAGTGATCTACTCCAGTTACTTGGGTGTGCGATCTACTCCACTTACTCGGGTGTGCGATCTACTCCAATTACTCGGTGTGTGATCTACTCCAGTTACTTGGGTGTGCGATCTACTCCACTTACTCGGGTGTGCGATCTACTCCACTTACTCGGGTGTGCGATCTACTCCAATTACTTGGGTGTGCGATCTACTCCAATTACTCGGGTGTGCGATCTACTCCAATTACTCGGGTGTGTGATCTACTCCAGTTACTTGGGTGTGCGATCTACTCCAATTACTCGGGTGTGTAATCTACTCCACTTACTCGGTGTGTGATCTACTCCAGTTACTCAGGTGTGTGATCTACTCCAGTTACTTGGGTGTGCGATCTACTCCAATTACTCGGGTGTGCGATCTACTCCACTTACTCGGGTGTGCGATCTACTCCAATTACTTGGGTGTGCGATCTACTCCAATTACTCGGGTGTGCGATCTACTCCAGTTACTCGGGTGTGTGATCTACTCCATGTACTCGGGTGTGTAATCTACTCCACGTACTCGGGTGTGTGATCTACTCCACTTACTCGGGTGTGTAATCTACTCCTGTTACTCGGGTGTGTAATCTACTCCACTTACTCGGGTGTGTAATCTACTCCAGTTATTCGGGTGTGTAATCTACTCCAGTTACTCAGGTGTGTAATCTACTCCAGTTACTCAGATCTATAATAGCCCAGATTACAGCAGGAAGTGGATCACATGTAATGAAGGTCAGACATTCAGAGATTTTGGGCTACTTAAAGCACACCCACTACTTTCTACATTTTAACCTCACATGTGGCTCATTTTAGAAAGTCTCATCCTTTATGTAAACCATCAGTCACAGATAGCACCTTCAGTGATGCTCTGTCACCTTAGAAGATTTCCTAGTGACTTCAATATTCACACAAACCTTAGAGTCAGGAAATGGGATTTTCATTCAGCAGAAACATCATTTTGAACAGTGTAACAACTCCAGTGTGAATTCACGTCTACACGTATGTTCTCTCTGTCAAACGTCCAACATGGCTGTGGGTATTGGTTGTTTTTTTTAGTCTTCTCTGTACTCTCACACAGCAGCTGTGTAAACTACCGCAGATACGTTGTGTCCATTCTCTCCAGGGCAGCCATCAGGTGAAGACAAATGTATACTGTAAGGTCTGTCTGGACAGATGGAAATTCTCCTTCAGTCATCAGTAAAAGTTGGAACAACCTTTTTCCAACAGGCATCAGCTTTGTTCTGGACCCAGACGGACGATGAAGAGTTAAGGAACAAGTCGCAACATCTTCTAAAACGCAAACAGAAAACGAGTTAAAATATTACTTAATGTAACAAAAATAGAATACCGTCTAAAACGTTTAATCATAAGTGCATACAATCAACGTGTGTTTAATAGGTTATACTTGCACAACTTCTCATTTATCTGCGGCGCTGTTTTCCATAAATCCTCCCTGAAACGGAGTTTTGCTCGCTGCTGGATTTTTCATCTCCCGACTCTTTCTGCGTGCTCTAGCAGTCTCGACGTGATACCTGTGATTTGAACTCTTAGCAAAAATATTCTCATAACGCAGGTAATGAGCACAGTCGCCTCCTGAGTCCTGTTAGCTATAGCCGTGAGCTTAGCTTTGTGGTATTGTTTTTCTGGGACTAAACCCATCACACTATCGCAGGCGGTTTCATCACGGTTGCCTCTAAAAGGTTCCCGAGTGCTGTGCGAACACAATCTGAAATGGTTCCTATGGGAATGGTAGTTCTGGGAACTAAATTCTACAGCTGGTTTTCCGGGAGCACTACTCAGAACAACTCGGCCCGACCACTGTTCCCAAGGGCATGGTCCAGTATTTTCCCTCTACTTTCTCCCCTATTTTTAGTCCCTGCTCCATTGAGGTACCTGGCAAGGATGAGCCGAGCCGGCATCACTGGTTGCTCCGGGTATTTTATTTTTTGCCTTGTGTTTCACTGCCTGCAGCCATTTCCTGGGTCAGAAACTGACAAAAAGCCATAAAACTGTGCAAAATGTCAAACAACGCCTCCACTTTTGTACTGGAAGATGATGAGGAACTACCTCCAGCCGCCCCATGGCCTCAACATTAGCACAAATTGACTCTGCACAAGGTACCACAAGCTCAATATTTATGACTGATGATTCTGCACAATGGTCAATACTGACACTGCCAAGTTGTGACAAAAGGATCAGTGCGAATCACATATATACATACATTTTATATTTAATTTAATGCAGTTTGCACTTTATATGTTTGTTGCTTTGTGAAGAAGGGAGGATTTTTTTGCAAATGTAAACATTACCATAAATACCATGTTATGCAAGATATGCAAACATAAACTATTAAAAAGTTAGTCAATCTCAAACAGTGTGTGTGTGTGTGTGTGTGTGTGTGTGTGTGTGTGTGTGTGTGTGTGTGTGTGTGTGTGTGTGTGTGTGTGTGTGTGTGTGTGTGAATGGCCTGTATTTGATATAGCGCCTTCTAGAGTCCTGGAACCCCCCAAGGCGCTTTGCAACACAATCAGTCATTCACCCATTCACACACACTCATTCACACACTGGTGGGAATGAGCTACGATGTAGCCACAGCTACCCTGACAGAGGCGAGTCTACAGAGTACTGGCGCCACTGGTCCCTCCGACCACCACCAGCAGGCAATGTGGGTTCAGTGTCTTGCCCAAGGACACAACGATAGCGACAAACTGAGCCTGCAACCTTCCGATTACGGGGCGAGCACTTAACTCCTGTGCCACCGTCACCCACAGTGTGTGTGTGTGTGTGTGGAGGGGGAGGTCATTTTGACAAAAGGGCCCCCCAAAACCCATCTTGCCTGGGGCCCCCAAATGTCTTGAAACGGCCCTGCTGGTGGGGGGTTATAATGGTGGTGGTTTGGAAGTGCACTGTGTGTGTGTGTGTGTGTGTGTGTGTGTTGGCTCAGTGATGGGGTGGCAGCAATACACCTTTTAAGTGTCCAGTCTGCCTGACTCATCGAAGAAGATGATGGTGGTGAATGACCGTGGAGCAGAGAGGAATATTTACAAATTAATGTTGGTGAGAAATATTACTGAAAAAGGGGAAGTTTGTGCACTGGTTACACGGAATGTAGTACACAGGTAAATATTACACACTAGGGCTTTAAAGTATTTTAACAATAGACGTTATTAATGTTTATGAGCATTTACAGTTTCTCCATTAGTCTAAAGATTTACAAGTCCGAAGCAAACAATTTGTCCGGTCTCCGTCGGAGCGGGGCGTGCACTCGGGTTCCATGTTTCACAACACTGAACCATTTAAAACAATTGCTTTATATTGGTTAAATGGTTTGGAAAGCTCTGGTTTCTCCATCACTAGTCCTCATGAGTCCCGCTGCTGTTTCATACCTATTCTGTGTAAGTTGATCTGTGGTTTCCAGCTGATCTCCAGCAGTCTGCGCTGACGATCGATCTCTTCCTCGTAGCGGACGATGGTTTGTTCAAACTCGGAGAATATTTCTGCAGCAGCAGCAGTTAGCCGCTCTCTGATAAACTCTCTCAGAGACTGAGATGAAGACATTGTTGCTGCAGAGCCTCAGAGGTTCACCTCACACACCCACACAACAAGCTAACGCTGCTAACGAGCAACAAGCTAACGCTGCTAACTATAGATATGTGCGTAATATGCTGCTATCAAGCTAACGTGGCTAACAGCGTCCGGGTGATGTAGCGATTGGTGACCAGATTAAAGGTGCACTACCGCCACCTACTGGATCGGAGTTGGATTGAACAACGACAACGATGTTGACCTGAACAGGAAGCTTCAGCAACAGGCGCTTTGATTTCTGACAGAAACATGAAAACGTTTCAAAGCTCCAGATGTAAAACTTTCTATGTGACTGAAATATTAAAGCAAGTTAATAAATGTGTTCTAAAGGCAGATCAGATTATCGTCCTGAACAAGTTTAGATCTTTGTTGGTGCCTTAGTGAAACATTTCCAAGTTCATTTCAACAGCAGGACTGAAGCCAGCAGAAGGTTCAGGTAGTTTCAGGATGCAGCCAGCAAGAGGGGGACTCCGAAACAAGTTCACATGATACCAATCTGGTTGCAGCAGCGTTTTAGATCAGCAGCAGCCCGACTCTAAAATAACATCAAACAGCATCAAGGTAGAATTTACAGAGAACATGAAACAGGAACATCTATCCAAAAGAACCTTGTAATCGTCACATCTGCATTTGTGCTTTCCAAACGTGACTACTTTAACACTGCAGATGGTTCAGAGCACTGCAGCAAGGTTCATTACCACAGTGAAAAATTATGAGAGCATCTCTCCAGTGTTGTACGCATTGTGGTGGCTTCAGAAAAAAAACGTAGCAAGTCATCGTCTTCCTAAATGCAGTTATTCTCTTCTGAATCAGCACTTCTTTAAAGAAGAAGAAATAGTTAATGCAACAAAGGGAAATATCCATTTATTCAGCCTGCTCATTGCAACTTGAATCAAAAAATAAGTCTGAACAGTGTTAGAGGTTGTTCATCTAAAAAATAGACCTTGAAGAGTTTGAAGATTTTTTTGTTTTAATAAGTTCATCTTAAAACATCTTTCTCAAGTAAAATAAAGTTTCCTCTGTGAGGTCAGATAGGCCCATCTCCTGTTTTTGATCTTTTTGAACTGTTTGTACTTAAAACTACAAATAAGTTCAATTTGATTGACCGTCAGAAGGTGGGAAAGTGCCCCGCTCCCTCCCAGCTCCCTGATTGGTTGAAAGAGTTCAATCATCTTCTGGCTAAATGGAATTACACACCCACGCATGTGAGACATCAAACCGATCGGCTTGGCCTAAGGAATCCATCCATCTACATATAGATCCATCCATCCATCCAATAAACCATCTAACATCCATCCAACAATCCATCCGTTGTTTCATTCATCCAACCATTCATCCATCCCATATCAAGTCTGAACATATGTTAATCTATCAGTTTCAGAGCAAATATTTCTAAATTCACAGTTCAGCCAATTGTAAAAATGTACCCGTTAAACTATTCTCATTCAAATGCCAGCTGTTTAACACTTCAAATTTCGAGTTTTTAATAAATGTTCAAAGATTAAAGTTTTCTGCTGTTTAGCATTTTTTTTATCCATTCTTCACCTATATTCTGAGCTTTATTACACTTGTTGGTGAATTTTGCTTCTAAATCTTTAAAAACATTCAGCTCATTTTGACAGTTTTGCTTTGTTTCAGCTTCAGTTCAGCTGTTCAGCAGCTTCAGCTTACAGTTTCAGCTATCCAGCATTCAAACAGCATTTGTGCAATAAATGCAATTTTTCTAGTTGAGGTTTATTAATCATCATAAATAATCTCTTGGTTCAGTATAAATGTATTTTTAATTACTGAAATGAATTATTATGCTTTGGGTATAATTACGATTATGGTTGATGAACAGTAATGTGTGTTCAGCAAACCAGAAGGTCAACTTCCACTTTATCCATCTAACACAGAGTTTATCCAGAGTAAAGGGTAACTGCCATCACGTGTCTTGACTCACGACCAAAGCTTTCTTGCTCTGAGAGGGCGTGTTCTGAGGAGTTTGTTAAACTAACTTTCCAGCAGAGAAACACCAGTTCGTGAACCAACCACCATCACTGAGGATACGGGTGTTAAGACACCTGGGTTTTACAATGGTTGGTCGTATTATTATTATTACTGTTTAGTCAGAATTCTTTCCCCTGTTTTGGTAGTTTTCTTCCCATTGTTTTGTTTTCTTTTGGAGTGACAACACCAGACCCAGATACAAGATGGCTGCCTCCATGCTGTTGTCCAGTAACCATGGAAACCACAATGAGCACCGGCAGCCTCATCACTAGTAGATCCCTCCACAGTTCTTCAGGTGGAAGCAATTGGACTAATCGTTTTCTCTGGATCTGGAAAGGATAAAAGGCTGGAGGAACTTTCATTCTGGGAGCTACTTGTAACCAAGTAGACTCCCTTTGGGCTGGTTTCAGAGTTTTAGAAGTTTAAACATCTTGATAGAAAATAATTCTGTAGCTTTTATTCAGTCTCTCTTTGGGTTTAGTAAGTACTCTTGGTAAAAGAACTACAGTGGCCACTGTTAGAGTTTGAGAGTCTTTAGTGGTTAAGTTGCTGAATTATTATGTAGAAGGTGAAAGCTACTTTAGGTTTTGGAAATAACCCTGAGGCTTTTAGTTAATCCATCCCACATCTTTCATTCCTTTGTTCCAGCCTGTTGGACGGTTTTCTTTTGGTGCTGCCAGTTAAAAGATCTGAGCCTTAGTCTCCTGCTTTATGTTATACGAACATTGGGCTCTCTGAGTTTTATGGGCTGTGTTAGTGTGTTGCTGTTAGGATTTCCAGCCCTTGGTTTTGTGTTATCCTCTAATGTTTTAATAAATTTGTTTTTCTTTACACAAGTTCCTTCTTGCCTCCCTGGTTTCCCCTCCCTGAAGAAGGTAAAACGTAACAACGGGAACGGCCATCCCTAACCTCCACCTGCTGTCCTGTCACGCCGATAAGAATAGCTTTGAATAAACACAACTGTAACCAGCTGATGAAAATAAACTCCTTCAGAGTTATTGACTTGGAGACGCAAATAGTTCCACCAGTCGAGTGACCCAAGGAGACATCTCAGGACCGATTTGGTCGCACCAGAGGCCCATCTACCAACCTCGTTCCTGGAGGAAACCATCTCCACCTGGCACTTCGGTTCCAAAAAGGGGGTCTTCTATACTGGGTGAGGTAGACATTCTGACAGATTGTGTTTGATGCTGTTCTCTCTAAGTAAACGACTCAGTTAGCTGCAAAACCATCATTTCCAACCCAGAATGCGCTTCTCTCTCTGAAAGAAACCTTCTGAGAACATCCACGCATCCAAAAACTCTTCATTTTAGCTTTCCATCCAGACTAGAGCCCTGCACGGGCCTAAAATCTGAGCCCCAGCCTGACCCGGCCCGAAAAGGTTTTCAGGATTCTCTGGCCTAACCCAAGCCCGGGCCCGACTTTTTTTTTAACCAACTAAATGAAAACAAAGTGTGTCAATCCTGACCAATGTGTTACAAGACGTGCAGGAACCGATCAATTTGTTTTCCCCTCATTTACCGTCACGGAGGTGACGGCGCACTGGCTCTGGTGGTAATCAAGTTAAATTTTATCTCTTTCCGACAATTTTCACAAGAAAACAAAACAGTCAAAAGCAGGGCTTGAGTTGTGTTGACCGGATAGTTCCCGTATTTGACCGTTTATTTTGACGGAGAAAGAATAGAAAGAATTACCCCGACGCATGCAGACGAACTGACATTTTATTCATTACACAAATCGCAGATGTAGCTAAATCACTCAAGAAATGATTCCCATCTGAACATCTGAGCTGGACACTGCTCAGCGCAGCTCGCGGTCAGCGCATATGTACACAGCGAGCTGAAGATTTGGAGATTGGCTTGGAGCGCGTCGCAGAACCAGAGCGCATGCGGGAAGATTCCTCCCACTGAAGCGAGTGTTTTCCAAACCCTGTCTCTCAGAGAGACTTGTCACTTAAAAAATGTTCCCTGATTATGAAACTTTGGCTGAATAGTGCTTGTTCCTGTCTCCAATGTGGCGACACATCCAGGAGCCGTTTGAGGAGAAGCCCAGAATCTTACATCCTCGTCAGCTCAGAAAGTGCATATGATTATGCACAAGCGTGACCCGTCAACCCAGTCTCACAGTAAGACCGGGTTGGACCTGTTCAGGTTTACGCAGACAATCTTTATATAGAATTGACTTGCAGATATAAAATTAATTCAGTAAAATATAAAGCATTTTTTAAAATATCCATTCATTATTTTACAGTGAAAAGTGGACATGTCCAGGGAAAACGGGATGTACGGTCACCCTAGTTTAATATAAAGCAGGAGATTACAGATACAGTATTTTGCTCGTGCCCTTGCTGCCCTGGGTCCTTTTAGAGTTTGCGGGCCCTGGGCAACAGTTGTCCATATGGTTAATCCGGCCTTGCTCCTCACTCTCCAAAGTGAATACAGAGCAGCAGTGACTGTAAAAAGAGATGCAGATGCAGAGTGAACAACTGTGCCCAGGACTTTCATCCTCCGAGTCCACAGAGTCATTGTCAGAAGGGGAGCTTTCCCCACTGGAGACTGTTGGTTCCTAAAATAAAATAAATATATAAAAAATAATTAAACAGACTGTTGGTTCCTGCTGGGCTTCTAGCTCATGAAAAAGTTCACAGGCTTGTGATACATTGAGACGTTGTGCCATTTTAGCAGTGGAAAAAAAATGTAGGCTAATGTTAATTTATTAAAGCCAAATCTGAGTCGCAAGCATTTTCAGCAAGGACACTAGTGTAAACGTTTTATTTTTAGTAAACTTACCCAAAAACACACGCAAAAAATAAAAATAATTGCATCAACACAGCCATCCATTGTCTGAACCTGCTTGTCCATAGGGTCGCGGGGGGGCTGGTACCTCTCTCCAGCGGTCAATGGGCAATCAGGCGGGGTACACCCTGGACAGAATGCCAGTCCATCGCAGGGCAACACAGAGACACACAGAACAAACAACCATACACACACACACACTCACACCTAAGGACAATTTAGACAGACCCAGGACCTTCTTGCTGCTGTCATGGTCTGTGTCCTGCGTCCCCCTCATGTGTTCTCCAGCCTCCCTCTAAGTTCTCCTTATGTGTCTCCTTGTGCTCCTCATGTGTCTCCTTTTGTTCCCCGTCCCACTCCAGGTTCTCCCCTTAGGTTTCTGTGCCCCTTTAGGTCTCCAACCCCTCCAGGTGTCCCTCTAGGATCCCCTCATGTGTACCCAAACTTCCTGTGCCCCTTTTTGTCCCCAGCTCCCTCCCGGTCTCCCTCAGGTCTCCCCTAGTCACCCCTTTGTAGTTTTTCTATAGGTTCAGCTTTTCATGTTATTAGTCTCCTTGTGTTTCCTTCCCCACTTGTTAATTAGTCTCCCTTACTCCTCAGGTCATTAGCTATTTATTCTTTGTTTCTCCTGTGCCCTTAGTCCTTTAGGTTTATTATTTATTTTCCCTTCCCATTTAGTTAATTGTTTTCACCAGTCTCCCCTCAGTTCTCTCTCACCACGCACCTGCTCCTCATCTCCCAATCACCCAGTCACTATGTATATAACCCTGTCTTCGTTTCAGTGTTTTGTTGGCCCATTGTCCTCGTCAGCGTTGCTTTGTTCATGTATTTGTGAATAACTTCAATAAATAAATAAAAAACAGTGGCGGAAACTGGTTTCCTTTTAAAATGTGGTGCATTTTTCTCTTCTGCCCTAGATGGCAGTATTGTGTTAAATATATAGTTATCCAGATTTTGACGGAAAATTATCATTGTCTTTCAAAATAAAAGAACTAGCTTTAAAATGACTGTACATTACAGATGTAGAAATAAAATATGGTACACAATAATTAATATTTCTCCTTAATAATGAGATATTAAGTTATATAAAATTGATGGAAGCAATTTTTTTGAAGCAATAATGCTTTTATTTTTAAATCAATAACCGGAAACGACCCTTCTTGTTCACAGAGGCTTAACGGTCGGTGAGTCGTGGCCCAGTCAAAACAATACAGCTTAGCTCAACAGCAGCTTCAGCTGTAAACAACACAGCAGACGTTAAAATACCGGCTTCACGGTGCTCCGGAGCCTCCTTACTTGTGTATTTTACCGGTGAGATTCGTGCGTTTTACTGCCCGCCGAGTCTGTTCGGGATTTAACCGTGTTCGTTTTGGTCGGAAATGGAGACTGCTAACGGGCTGCTCAGTACCCTGGCATCAGCGGAGGGGAGCGGCTGAAGGGGTCGCAGCAGATTTACAGACGTTAAACCCCCCGACTAAGGAACCTCGGAGCAGTGTGCTGGTTAGCATGGTGGAGTAGAGGTGCAGCGTTTAATTTACCGCCGTCCAACGAGCTCTCCGGGGAGGATCGCCATGGCCCCGGGCTCGCTGGTGGCGGCCTGCCGCAGCCTGGCTCTCTCTACGTGGCTGCTGTCCTTCTGCTTCGTCCACCTGCTGTGCCTGGACTTCACCGTGGCCGAGCGGGAGGAGTGGTACACCGCCTTCGTTAACATCACCTACGTGGACCCGGCCACCTCCGAGCTGCGCACGGAGAAAACCGAGTGCGGACGGTACGGGGAGCACTCCCCAAAGCGGGACGCCAAGGGGGTGGTGGTCCTGCCCACAGCCCCGCTGGACCGCCAGGCCTGCGACCCTCACGGCCGCTTCGCGGTGCCCCAGCAGGCCGGGGCCTGGGTGGCGCTGATCGCCCTGGGGAACTGCACCTTCAAGGACAAGATCCGCCACGCTGCAGCGCACAACGCCTCGGCGGTGGTTATCTTTAACGTGGGCTCTCCTAATGCCAACGACACCATCACGATGCCCCATCAAGGTATGTGGGGGTCATCCTCTCTCTGTCACCGTCCTACACTAACGAATGGACCCATACCCCCCTGTAGGAACACCAGACCCAAGCGATAGTTTAGTCTTTGTTTTCCTGGTTGTCAGAAGGGGATGCTTAATTTTAAACTGCACGGACAACACGCTCTTCTCTATCTTTCCTTTTTAAATCTGATAGCTCTTTCTAAGTTTTCATCTGGACGTTGGCTGCTTTCTCATTCAGTTTCACTTCCTTTTCAGAGTAAAGTAAATTTGTGTTGATCAAGTCTCTCCTGGTGGGCATTTGCATCATCAAAGGACCAACAGGGTCATTCTGATTTTATCAGCTGAACACTTGATGCACAGAACAGTGATGCCCCTCAGGTTTCATTAATGGATTTAGGTTTGTTCATTTTGGACTTTGAAGCTCTGTGCATCTGCTGAAAATACACATGGCCTGATTTTGTTCATGCTGGCCTTTGGTACTCCCAGTATAAAGTCAGAAACATCAGCAGAACCGTGTAAAAACGGAGCAAGGAAGAAAATTTGGTAAACTAAAAAAGCCAGCCATGACTTGGACTGGAGTCATTCAGTGTGTTAACATGCGCATCAAAAGAAGACTCAAGTCGTTTTCTTTAAACGCATATGAACCTGTTCGTTTGGCTGAAGGCAACCTGGTTCCAGTCAAGCTGAAGCACCCAGGTAAGGCGTAGAAGCCCGACTTCATCTGCATGTAAAAGGCTCAGCCGAGCCAAACCGGATGGACGATCGCAGAGGTGGTCTTCTGAAATTATCATCACCACAAAGTAACGCTTGTAACACCATCAGACAGCTTTGCTGCAACGTTGTCGTCGTCCATTCCTTCGGCCATTGTGCATATCCTGTTTCGGTTCCCTCTGCTTCACTCCCGGTAGCATTTATTTATTATTTGTGTAGCTATAAGCTAACCGGAAGAATGTCAACATAAAAGGGCACGTGTCGCCACCTACTGTACCGGAGTGGAACCAACTTTATTTGAGAGGTCAGTTTTCTAACGTGCATGTAAACTTGGATAAAGACTCACAGCTTTTTACCATAGGATCCACCTGGATCGACTTGGTCAGTGCACATGTAACCGAAATAACATCACCAAAACATCCTGCATTGGTAAAAGCGGAAGTGTTGCTGGTGAAGCAGAATTGGGGGGGGGGGGGGGGGGGGGGGGGGCAGGTTTAAGTAACACTAAATAGTTTTTTAAACTTTAAGATATAATTTTAACATTCAGTGATTTTTGAGTTAGAAACGTGACCAGTCTCGTATTTGACACCACTCTACAGCCCTCTGCTGGTTAGATAACGTAACAGTGTTGTGGAGCGGGTATGTTCTCTAGAGGTGCTCTTTGCCTGCATTAGGCAGTCAGCATTTTTAGTTCGCTCATCATCAATAAATAGTACAAGAAGAAGAAAATAATTACCTTTTTTTGTTGGCATCATGGCGGAACCGGGAAGTAAAAGTAAGAGAGTGATGTCTTTGGAGGTGAAGCAAAGAGCTAAAACCAGGGTGAACTTTGGTGCGTTAGCGCGTTGTTAGCGCTAGCTATAGCAGGCATCTGCATGGTTGTTCACAACAGTTGTAATTCTACTTTCAACCAGTAGGGTGAGGGAGCAGGGACCTAAACTCTCAATGCTGTAATTTACACCACTTTGTGGCCTATGGAGCACTCTTTTTATGTCACTTATGGGCCATTCCCATCTGTACCGGGTCGGCCCGGGCCGGGTAGCGTAGGTTGTTTACATATCTGGGTGGCCTGGTATTTTTCCGGGCCAACCAAGGCTCATTCTCAGCCCTCTTCTCGAGGGGGTCTGCTTCAGGCCGACCAGGGCCATCACACCCACTGCTGACAGCAAATTCACACCTTCCATTAGAGCAAGCCTCTGATTGGTGGGTAGAATCAGCCCACATGGGCTTAAGACAAGGATGTGTGGAATCAACCGGGCCAGGCTGGGGCCGACTGGGGCTACCCGGCCCGGGCCGACCGGTACAGATGGGAATGGCCCATTAGCCGCTCTCCCAACAGGTCACACCAACTGCAAAATCCAGTGTATTTTTACAGAATCAAACATCTTTAATGATAGTAATGGCTGTGGACGCCTTTGATGCAGATCAGTGACATCACTCATTGCTCATATGGTTGCGATGCTGACATCATAACAAAGTCCTAAAGGGGAGATTTTGTATGAAGACATCAAGTCATCAGATTTTCCCCTTCCCCTCAGTGACTCGAGGCTTGACTCGGACTGGATCTCATCCCTGGTTAGTCTATAATAGTCAGACACTAGAGCCACAGTTTGACCATCCTGGAACCATTAGTGAGACCAGAACGTTAGTCCTGAGCCGTTGTTCTCAGAACAAGCGGATCTTCTCCTGTAAGAAGCTGAAAAATCTGTGTTTGGCTGCAGCAGCTGTAGACCTGACCTAATATGATGCAGAGGAAGCAGACAGCTGACTCGGCAACTCTGAGCCACGTGGACGAGTCGTCCTGTTTCTGTTTCTCCAACGTTTGAGCGATGATTCACTGAGACAGCTGCAAGTTCTGCTGGTGGCTGGTTCATGGTTCCAGCTTTTTAATCTTGTTGACCTAAAAGTTATGGTGGAGTCAAGCAGACCCATCCTTTAGGGGTGGTTGGATTATATTATTCATAAATCTGTGGGGAAAAGGTCTTTAACTTCCTCTGTAGTTAGAAGCCACGTGTCACAATCCTCTGAATCCAGCCTGGAGAGGTTATTTTGTATCTGTGGTTCTGATCTGATGAGAAACTGATCTGAGAACAGAAACCATCTCCAGGCCCAGCCTGGTGGTAGAGCGGTCAAAAGGCTGGTGTGGGATTCCTGCTCCTCTGAGATGTTTGTGGTTGATGCAGCACTGCGTTACGTAATGTTCAAACGGAGCCGACGTCAGAGCCGCCAGGCCTGCTAACAGCTGTTTGTCCAGCAGCTGGAATTCCCTTCAGCGGTCCGAGCAGGACCCCCACTCCCACTCTGAGTTGCAAAAATCCAGGAAATAACTCACAAGAAAGTTGCACTTGTTGACTTAAATCTGGTTTCTCGTGATGTTTCGGGGAATCTGACACGCCATCGCACGTCAGAATGGCTCTCCCAGAGAAACATCTGCAGAGTTTAGACCCTGCTGGAAATAAAGATGTGTGCAGATGTTCTGATGCTTTTATGGGTTTTGTTTGGAGATTCAACGCGACCTTTGGTCAAGTAGCTCGCGCGCTGTAGTCAAACCATCAGGTTTGTGGTTTTAGTTTGTATTATCGACTGTAGTTCTTAAAAGGGATGCACCGATACCACTTTTTTCCAAACCGATACGACACCGATACTTGGATCTGAGTACTCGCCGATACAGATTACCAATACCTAGGGCTGCTCGATTATGGCAAAAATAATAATCACGATTATGGTGACTGAAATTGAGATCACGATTATTTAGGATGATTTTTCTATTTATGTTGATTTTATTTGTTTTTATTCAGTCATAAAACTGCTCAGGGCACAATCAGGACAAAAATAAATAAGAAACAAGATGATCACTAAAATAACTCCTGATTCCCAGTATAAAAAGACCAATATACTTATAGCTGATAGTCTATGACCCAAGGGCTATAGACCTTGGTTTAACTCATTTAAGTCTAACCAGTACAGACCCAAATACCAATATCTTGCAAATACTGACAGCAAGAATTATACAGTGGCATTTATAACAAATAAATGCAAATAAATTGATGTTCACAAAATGTTGCATAACATTTATTGAGTCGTGTCAAGGTGCTGTAGGAGAGTACACTAGCACCGTGTCCTCAGAGAGATTAGTTATTAGTTATCAGCGTGAGGAACTTATTTCTACCTTATTTATAAACTATTTATTTACAGGTCCATCAGTTAATGTAATAATTGTCCCAACCACAGCTGCACCCCCCACCCCCCAACCCGGTCTCACAGCAATCGGGGCAAGCTGCATGTGTGTTTAGCACGCCGCACGCGCACATTTAGCTGTTTTTAGCGGCTCAGGAGTCCGCAGGTGCGGTGTGTGTGTCACTCACTCTGGTTACTCCAACAAGGAGCCGGCTCCGAGAGCTGTTTCTTTAGCGACTGACACATCACTACATCATTCCCTTTCCCAATTCCTGAAGAACGGTCCGGAGCGCAGGCGGAGTGTTTAGCTAACATGCAGGAAACGTCGACGACAGTTATCCAGAAAGTAGCTAAGGGTTACCAGAGATGTTTCTGAGGTGTTTGCTGGGTATTTGTAAGATTTAAAAAGTCAAGAAGGGGGTCTGAGAAGCTGTTAGAAATAGCGTCAAAGTCGCCAAGTTGGCAACGCTGAGGAGCGCTTCATTTGCAACTCAGGGCAGCGCAAGTGGGAGGAGCAAATAATCGGCTTGTTTTGTTTTTTATAATCGTTCAAAACTCAGATCGTAATCGTGATTAAAATTCGATTAATTGAGCAGCCCTACCAATACCGATACTTCTACCACACAAAAAAATGCAATAATTTGGGATACAGATTTTATTTTCTTCTCTGCTTTCAACAGGAAAAGACTGTGAGGTAGATACAAAGTAAAATATATGAATGGAAATCATCACAAAACTAAAATATTAGGTGAACAGAAATGACAAGTTACAGGGAAGCCATTTTCAAGCAACTGCATTGGTATCGGTTAACTTTTACCGATACCGATACTGGTATTGGTATCGATATCGTCACCAATACCAATACCAGTATCGTATCGGTGCATCCCTAGTTCTAAAGTTATTGAAGACTATCAACACGAGCCTGATCTATAACATCTGTAATTTTTAAAGTCACAACACACAGCTGATGTGTTGTTTACATTCCAGGGGACTTGGTTTCCTCGCCCTCTCTGGTGATCTCAGATCCTGCAGGTACATTTGTGAATTAGCATCTACCAGCATGATGCTCAGATGTTCGTGTGTGTGAACAGTCTCTCACCATCTACAGCTGTATAATCA